TCCCTAGAACCCACGGGGCAGGAGGAGAAAACTGGCCTCTATTACATGCACACCATGGCACATGCATGCACGCGCATACCGACTTGCACACACCATATGCTTTAATTGGAACAAAACTGGGGGGAATCTCATAAAACTTGTTTGGAATATTATAACACTATGACATTTGTGTTTTTTCCAGTAATATTTAAGTCAAGTTTGCACCCAGACTGATAGCCACAATCTGAATGTTTCATTTGTTGTGTGATTTCTACCCTTTAGAGGAAACACTGCCAGTCTCTCTTAGCAGTGGCAACTGCTACGTAGGTTCATAAGCCTTTCCTTTATCTGACAGACTGTTTTACTATAGAACTGGCCATTTCTTTCTGCAGTTCCAGACCTTAAGAGGCAAAGCTAAACACTTAGCAAGTGGTCCCATCAGGTGTATCTTTTACAAAGAATAAAGATGAAAAGACAGCTTAGCAAACACCAGCCTATTATAAACATAGGAGGAGGCATGAAGGGAGGGGAACGGGAAGAGGAATTCAAAGTCGGCTTGTTGCTTCAGACGTGTGCCTGGGGGAACTGACTTCAGTGTGTCCTTGGACCTGTGGAGTCAGCACATAGGCTAAATCTACTCCTTTAGCAAATAAGTCTGCTTCATAATGATGAAATGTGCTTTAGAATGGATGCTGAAATGGATTCATGCCAATTTGAAGGTTTTGTTCAGCCAGTGATTCCTAATGACAGATTAAACACTATTTCTGGCGGTGGGGGGGCAACTGAGAATGTCTCAGAAGTGGAAGCCACAAGAAAGAAGATGCATTTGGTGACAGGAATGGAACTCTCTGAATAGACTATTCTGGAAGAGAGAAGAGCAAGCTGCACAGAGAGCAGGAAAAGTAGGTATGTCCAAAAGGATATTCTGCTGGCTTTGGGTGATGTCCTAGCCATGCTAAGTAACTAACATACTTTGAGTGTCTGCTTGGGAAGAGGCTGGGGAAACTGCCCTCCATTCACTTGCCAGGGGCAGCAGCAGCAGCTGTCACCTTGCAGTCACAAATCTGGTCGTTGGGCTGACTTCAGGCACACTACTTTAGGAGCCTTCTGAGCCTTCCCTGCAGGCTGGTTGGCACATTTTCCTATTGTAGATGAAACAAAGCTCTTTGCTGGTCACAGCAAACCTAGGGGAGATGTGGACAGCATATGAATAGATTGCTTCCTAGACTGGAGAGCTCTGCATTGCTTCCTTCCAGAACTTTCAGACCATCTACTGTGCAATAGGAAATCAAGCCGAAATAAGTAAGATCTATCCTGAGGGGCCTCACACAAAAGCTACTTGTAAGAAGGGGAGGCAGAGATGACAGGAGATGACACAGGGTGCCCCTGCCTTATCAGACGGAAGGCCACATCTATGCACACATGACCCAAAGAAGTACACAGACCGATGTGGAAAGCCTTAAGATTGACCTGTTTGTACAGTAAACAGTTCCCGCAGCCATTTCTGGGTGAACGGATTTGGTGAAGAGGAGGAAGACTAAGCTTTGGAACTTAGGTGTCCAAGTTACACTTCCCTAAGGCAGAAATCAAAATGGAAGATTGGTGAGTGATCGATAGTGAGACACAGGGTGTCCCACATGTGGTGGCAGCAGATGAGCACCTGACTCTAGAGTCAGTATGGTGGCAGTGGGACTTGAACTTCCTAAGCTAGCCATTAGGAAAAGGAAAGAGGGATGAAGGATGGTTTGAGGGGAAGGTGAGCTGACTTCCAAGCATTGAATCTGGACTTATGTCACCACCAGGTGGATGTGGATCTGAGTCACTGGCATAACTGAAGACAATTGGCCCTCAGTTTTCTGGGCCCCTTCCAAAGGATGGAAACCCAAAGCCATGTGTATTCATTTGTACTGCTTCTCTTCCAAAAAGGCACGCAAATTAAAATCAGAAGCGATCCCCATGGGATTATAATGGACAATAGATCAAGGGTTGTAACTGCACTTAGAGGAAAAGAAGGGTCACCAGGGAAGGCCAGAGATGTAGGGGGAAGGCCTGTGGGCCAGACCAGAGTTGGAGATCAAAGGCCAGAGGAGGAAGATGGGCCACTGGGCTTGACTCCTCTGAAGTGGCTTTTTTCTTCTTGAAAATCTCACCATGTTGCCAAGGCTGGCTTCTAATTCCTAGGCTAAAACTTTCCATTTGCCTCAGCTCCTGGAGTATTGGGGCCACAGACGGGAGCTGAAAGGGACTGGTGTTTCAGCACATGCTTCCTACAGCGACAGGCCATGCAGGGCTTGGGACATTGGAGGGAAGAGATCGACCTCAGACTAAAGAAGGGGAAAGGGGGCTGGCTTGGTGACCCATGCAGATCTCTGTGAGTTGGAGGACAGCCTGGTCTAATGAGTGAGTTCAAGGACATCTGGGGGGGGGGGGGGAGAGAGAGAGAGAGAGAGAGAGAGAGAGAGAGAGAGAGAGAGATCCTGTTCCAAGAAACCAAAACTAATAAACAATAAAATAAAAACGGAAAGAACACGCTCACATGTAACACTCATCACCCTCTTGCCTGGGTACCAATCAGTATTCATTGGAACTAATGTGTGTTCCCAGCCTGACCAGTCTTGATATTTTCAGCGTTTGTAGGTTGTGTTAAATCGTGAACTACATTAATGGCCAAAGAACCATCAAGAAGGCGAAGGAATAGGCTGCCTATTCTTCCTGGTTTGGGAACTGGGAGAGAAGAAACTGGAAATGTGCTTTTAGAAACAGGCGGCTGTGAATGTTTGTTTATGTGACGTGACAGATTAAACTTGTCGCCATAGTGGGTTCTCTAGGCCGGCTTGGATACTGGGCTGGCTTGGGAAAGTTCTTTCTCTTTTTCCTATGCAAGGCTTGCAGAAAGAGGCGAGGAATTATGTCGGAGTCCAGGACCTGAGAACCTGGTGAAGTAGCTGGAAGTTCTCAGGCCCCAGAGGTTGGGAAAGGAAAGCTCTGGTCGGTTATCTGGGCGCACCCAGAGAAGGGTAGGATGACTTCATTCCCGCAGAGGGCGCTTCCCACCCCGGCAGCTGAGGTGCCAGCAGCCGGTTTGTCCAGGATAAGTTTTCTTGGACTACTCACTTCGCTCTCTGCCTGGCGTCGTCACAAGTCACTTTGAAAAAAAAAAAAAATGAGATTAGACTGACTTCCCTGTTTCCTTCAGTGAGTGGGCGGGCTCTTCCCAGTTCCCAGACAGAGCTCCTTCATTCATCTAGGTCTGCCAGACTTTTTTTTTTCCCTTAATAAAGCTGAAAAGTTTGTTACCATCATTGAGACAAAAGAAAATAAAGAAGAGGGGAAGGGAAGGGAGAGAGGGGGAGGAAAGTGTGGGAAGGCGAGTGGGAGACGATTTGGCGTGCTCCACATTGGATCTGACCTCCGGATCGCTCTGGACCTCCTGAGAAGCTCTAAGCTCCAAAAAAAAAGAAGCTACTGCGAGCGCGCGGAGGTGTGTGTGGTGGTGGTGGTGGTGGTGGTGGTGGTGGTGGTGGTGGTGTGTGTGTGTGTGTGTGTGTGTGTGTGTGAGAGAGAGAGAGAGAGAGAGAGAGAGACAGAGACAGAGACAGAGACAGAGACAGAGAGACAGAGAGAGGTACATGCGTGCCTACGAATGTGCGTGGGGTGTTAGTGCGTGTGCGCGGGATAGGGTGTCCAGGAGACTGCCGCAGAGGTTCCTTTTGTGGAAGGCAGTGACCTGCTCAGTAGCGACCGTGGCGCCTCCCCCTCGCCCCATTAGGACACCAAGGCTCATCTTTTCCCTGCAGCAATTTCCATCTCCCTCTGTGGTTGCCCGCCCAGCCCCGCGCTGGTCTTCAGGTGCCAGGAGCAGCGTGCAGGGCGGCGGCTTTCGAGTCTCGGGAGCCGGGAGCTGGCGAGGACGAGCGCAGTGGCGGTGCTGTTAGGCTTGAAGGGGGAGCGAAGGAGGCAGCCGAGCAGGAAAGGGCGTGCTGTCCTCTGCGGCCGGCTGGAGGAGCAGCCGGGGAGGCAGCATTGTTACCTGCAGCGGCCCCGCCCCTCCGCACCGCCCTGCCCCCTCACCGTCCCTGGCCTGCAGTCCTGAGGAGAGACGGCGGCGCCGGGACAGCGGGCGGAGGCTGCGCGGGCGCCGGGAGCGGGGGCGCGGTGAGTGCGGGACGACGGGAGCTGGAGCCGGGGCTGCGAGGCTGGGTTCGGGGATGCTGGGCTGAGCGGCGGCGCGGGGAGGATTCGGGTAAGCGCGAGCTCGGTTCCCGGGTCCCGGGACTTGATCCTGGAGCGCAGGCCCTGTGCCCCGAGGCGCATACTCACGGGACTGGCCCGGCATCGGACCCCGAGCTCGGTGTGGCGCTGTCCGCGGGTAGGACCTTAGAGGTTTGGTTAGCATTCGTGGCACTTATGCGGGTCGCGCAGGTCACAGGAGCCCCTCTCAACGAGGACTCGCCCCTGCCACAGTGATGTGGGGGTAGGCTTCCCATGACTGCACACCTCCCTGGAAGTTCACCTCCGAAGTGGCGTCGGGCGCTTGTGGAGTGGCGGGCTGGCAGTCACTCATGGTCCCCGAGAGTGATGGTTCCCGAGCGGGCCAGGTCTCTGTATCCAGCCCCAGAGACTCCTTTTTGCGTTTCTGTGGCGGGCTCATTCCCTCTTCCTTGGTGCAAAGCCGCAGTGCGGCCGAGAGCCCGGTCTGGGGACCACACGGTGTCGCCGCAACAGTAGTCCAAGCGGCTGGCGGCTACGGTTCCGAGAACCCTCAGCTCTGCAGAATAGTGGGACCCCGGTTTGGGAGGGGAAGCCTGGACAAGACAAGCCACCCCGGGGCACCGAAGGAGTCCCAGGGGTTTCGCAGCTGGCCTCCAATGGCCTTTGAGCTGGTCCAGGACTGGGGAGTGCCGACACTCCTGGAAGCGGAGGATCGATCCTATCTGTCCCTACTGTCCCCGCCAGGGATCCTGCGCGGCGCGTGTGGGCGTCTCTTCGCCTCGACGCGCGCCTTCCCAGCCCAGATAAGGCGGCCTCTGAGCTAGTGCGGGGACCGCCCATTCGGAGCTCGCTTGCTGTCGGGATCCTGGGCTGCGCGGCTGCGGGAAGCTGGTGGCCTTGGGAAGGCTTGGGCTAAGCGCAGCGGGAGCCGGAGGAGCCAAGGGCCTCTTGGTGAGTGGATCCGCCACAGTGCGGGGCTAGAGACCAAAAGAGGTGGTGGGCAAGACTTGGGAAATAACTGAGTTCATCCTGACTGAAAAGAAAACGCGTTCTGGGTGCTCCCTCCCTACCCTGTTCCGGGTGAGTTTCACAAAGACCTGGAGCTAGACTTTAAAGAAATTCTACTTTGAGTTGGACACTCCGCGGGCACTGTCTCTGGTTCCGGGTTGTCTCCCTGTAGCTTCTGTTCCTCCGGGAGCATCCTTCGGCGCTCCTGGGCCTATTCTTCCTGATTTGGGAACTGGGAGAGAAGAAACTGGAAATGTGCTTTTAGAAACAGGCGGCTGTGAATGTTTGTTTATGTGAAGTGACAGATTAAACCTGCCGCCGCCGTCCTGGGTTCTCTAGGCCGGCTGAAGTGCCAAGTCAGACTGTGCTGCTCGCAAACTGTGTGTGTTTCTTAATTAAGAAAGGGTTTGAAAAAACAGGTCAAAGTGGAGGGATGTTCCCTATGGAGTGAGTAGAGAGAACAATATTTAAGAAAGGCAGGCAATTTCCCCAGCCCTGTCCCTCTTTTCCCAACTAAGAATAATGTGTATGTAGCTTAGCATCTTCCAGTCCTCAGTTCATCAGGTGGACGGCTGCACTTCCAACTCAGGCTCATCCGTGACACATGTCAGGAGGCCAGAGGAAAGCCATCTGGCTCTGTATCACTTTTTATTATTGTTGAACAGAGCGGTGCAGATCCTCCTTTGGGAAAGCCCTGGTTAGAGCTAGGAGCCAGACAGCCCTTCCAGGAACTCTTCGGAACGTTTTTTATTCTAACCCTGTGTTGGCTGATCATAGGCTGAAGGTTAAGTTCCTGATCAGTAAGCACCCCTTACTGAAATCTGAGTTAAAAGATACTCAACTGAGCAGCAGTGTCCCCAGGGGGAGGGGCAGTAACCCACCTCTGATGAACCATGGTTATCACTCAGCAGACTTGAAGATGGGTTCTGTCTTCAGAAAGCCTATTGGTGACAGCTCTGCATCTAACAGCCTCCTCGCTGCGGTGGAGATGTTAAATGCAAGCCTGCCTCTGTTTGTCTTGGGGAGATTGATGGGATACTTGACGGTTCCCAGACAGAATCAGGGCTGATCCCTTTGTCCCTGCTGCCAACTGCCAACTGTGAAAAGCAGGGGACAGTGTCATGTGCCAGGGCCTTTGCATCACCTGCATTTCTCCTTGTATCTTTGAGTTGTGCGGTGTCATCCCTATTGTGGACAGTATGGTAGAATGCTTTTTTTGAGTTCTCGACTTTAGTACCACATATGACTGGAAAGAGATGAGATGACATCCATGCCCTTCTTTCTTACCACCTCTTTAACATCAGTAATCCTGCCCAGTGTTAGGAGTAAGGATGCTTAAGTAACGGGGATAAAAGCTCTAGCATGCAGCTGACCATTGCTGGTGAACTGACTTGCTGGATGCTGTTGGAGCTAGGATCTTTCACCATTATGGCAGCAGGTTGCCAGAGAAAGGGGCAAGGGACAGGAAGGTACATTTCCCCCTTTGTTCCTTTGAACTTCTTAAAGTGACATTCTTCTCTCGCTGGACAATAGTCATAGAATCATATCAATGCAAGTTCATATGTCCCTTAACTTTTGCAAGCTCTTATCTGGTACCTCCACTGTGCACAGCACAGTACTTACAAACAAAAGTCTTAGTCCTTTCGGGTGTAGGTGTCAGAAGACAGTGACTGGGGATATCACACTACCTTTGACGATTCAGCTTATTTAGTATTTCTACACACACACACTGAGGGGTTTAGTGCTATGCCTGTAAGTATCTGATACAGAATGAATTATTGCTTCCCAGACCAGACAGTTTTTTGGTTTACCCTCTTTTCTATCTCTCTTGTGCTGGGGATCCAGTTCAGGGCTTTGAGGTAGAGGACTTGCCTGGCATTTGTGAGGCTTCTGTGTTCAATTTCCATCACTGGGGTGGGGGTGGGGGAGGGATGATATAGAAATACATCGGTATCTATGGGACTGGAAGTGATTTGGAGAATTAGAAATTTTAAAAAGGGTTCCTTTATGCACAGAAGTATATAAAATATGTGAGAATAAACTGCCAAAATTACCTGTACAGTCTTGAAACAAGAGTTCAAATGTAACTATAAACTGTAATTGGCAGTGAGTCACGCGGGTTTTAGGGGTGCCAGCTACGAAGACAGCCTGGTTATGCCCCTAATGATAATTATGAAAACTCCTTCTAAAAGCCAGTTTCATCTCTGGTGAACCAGAAGTCAGCTTAGAGACATACTTATAACTTCACTGATTGAGAAATTATCTAGTACGTCTGAATGTAACGATGTTGTTGAATTATACATAGAAAATCATGAGAATAATTTTTTGTTTTGTTTTTGTTTTTCGAGACTGGGTTTCTCTGTATAACTCTGCTGTCCTGGAACTCACTCTGAAGTCCAGGCTGGCCTCGAACTCAGAAATCCGCCTGCCTCTTCCTCCTGAGTGCTGGGATTAAAGGTGTTTGCCACCACTGCCCGGCCTGGTAGTCACTGAATATTAAAAGAGAAAAAAAATCTCACAATTCACAGACTTTGGTAGCAAAGTGAAGATATTACATGTATTTCTAGCAGCCAGAACTTTGACATTTCATCTATAAATTCAAGACTTGTTTTCTTTTTAAAAGACTTTTTTAACTATGTGTATGAGTGTATGTATGTACATAAGTGCATATATCATATATGTGTATGTGTGTGTATGAGTGTATATATATATTCTTGAGTGCAGATGCTTTTGGAGGCCCAAGTGTCAGATCCCCTGGAGCTGGAGTTACAGGTAGTTTCAAGCCTTTTGACATGGGCGATAAGTCCTGGAAAGAACAGTATTTACTTTTAGCCACTGAGCTGTCACTGCAGAGCCCCTCCCCCACGTTTTTAAGTCAAATGTAGTTTGTGAAGATAAAGGGAAACTGCGCACGTGAGCTATTATCATTAGGAATAGTTAACTACATTCCTGTTTTGGCACATTTTTCTTACACAAGCCCATGGAAAAGCTATTCTCTGGTTTCATAGATGAAACATGCTGAGATTGAAGTGAGGTCATCCACCCTGCTCAGATTGCAGCTCAAGGAAGTGGCAGAGCTGAGCTGTAAGGGGGAATGTTTCTAGACTGCACTCTTGCTCCCCAGGAAGTCCTGCCAGTCATGTGCACAGTGCTTCATGATGTCTGAATTAATGATGTCGGGCAGTTCACGTCTGGTTAACCCAGTGTTGTAGGATCCACTCGTGTCTGCAAGTTGAGGCCCTAACAGCAGTGACATAAGTAGATAATTAGAGCCAGAAGAGTCATGTCACACCCTGGAACACGATTAATGCTTTCTGTGGGTTCCCTTCACTCCCTTGCTCACCTGTCTCCTTATGAGAAGAAATAAAGTTACATTGCTTCTGCTTTGAATTGGGTTAGTAATAACCAGTATACAGCTGGAACCAAACATCTGTAGGTCTATGAACATACAAATCTTCAAGACAAGAGAGTTGTACGTGTAAGGGCTAGACATGTGGTTAGCTTGACAGGGACAGTGTGTCCTTGTACATCTCCTTTACTAACAGTGTCACAGGAGCAGAAGAGAGGTAGGTGACAAGTTTCAGGCCTCTGAAGAGTGGCTTTCCTGGAATCCAAGGTGACAGCATCTGAAGGGGTGATGGGAGTCGTTTAATGTACTGTAATTTTGTGGAGGAGAAAATGGAAGTCTAGTGCGGTGATGTAACATGTCTGGCGCCCGTTCCTCTAGCTGGGGGAAGCGCGTCACCCTGTGGAACAGGAACATGGTGACCCTGGCTCCAGGGAAGCAAGCTGGGCCATTCTTGTCTTCTGTAAGTACCCTTATCTACTCCCTTCAACATGGAAGAGGCCTTTTGACCCAGTGATCGGTGAAAACATGTCCAGACTGGAAAAAGGCAGGGTCACTAAGCACCTAACGCTTCAACAATTTGGGCAGTTTCCCCAAGGTCTATATCGTCCAAGAAAGCCAGGAAGCTCTTGGTGAACAAGTAGTTTATTCATAAAGGGAACGCTCCTGAAACTAGAGCAGGCCCTGCTCCATTGATTAATGTGAGATTTCCAAATTGGTTTTATTGCTGATTCTTTGGCAGGTTTTTCCAGTAGCAAAATGTGGTTTGGATCGAGAACGATCTGTGTTCATTATCGCGTGCTTTGAGATGTCCTCTTGACCCAAATATCTAACCATTGTGGGCCAGCTGCCCCTGGCCTCTGAGGGAAAAGCTAGTGTGAGAACGTTTACCAGCACTGACTTTAATCCATCTTCGTAGGTCTGGAAGCTGACATGCAGCACGGTTGCCTTCTCTTCAGGCAGCAGACTTATGAGCCAAGAAGTACGACTAGAGTTTGATGTTTGTGTCTGCTTCTCCAAGGTTAAGGAATTAGCTCCTTAGAAGGCAACAGTACTATGCATGTTATGAATTGTGTCTCCCTGGCCAGCGATAAAGAAAATGGGACTCTTGCCAAAGCAGCTGCATTCATGACTGGGCAGACGTCACCCTCTGCATCTCCTCCACCTCCTCCTCCACCGCCTCCACCTCCACCTTGTCCACATTCAGGGGAGGGCTTTCCCCCCTCCCCTCCTCCTCCTCTGCCACCTCCACTTCCTGGGGGACCTCCCGTCCCCCCTCCTCCTCCTCCAGGACTACCCCCAGTTTCTTACCTGAATGGCTACAGCTCCCTGGGTAAGAAGAAACGAATGCGAAGCTTTTTCTGGAAAACCATTCCAGAGGAGCAAGTTCGAGGCAAGACCAACATCTGGACCTTAGCAGCCAAACAACAACATCACTACCAGATCGACAAGAAGACCGTTGAGGAGCTTTTTGGGCAACAAGAAGACACCTCCAAGGCTTCTCTCCCCAAGAGAGGAGGCGCTTTGAATTCGTCCTTCAGAGATGCCCGGGAAGAGGTAAGCCTGGAGGATGGCATGCGAGGATGAGAGGGGTGGAGGCCTGTGATCGTGCTGCTCTGTGCTGGCGTTTCGTGTTTCAGATCATTTGGTAAATTTCACTGGGAAATGAGAGCATGCAAGCTAGACTGTGCTCCGGAAGCCACAGAAAGGGCCCGCAGGATGAGCTGGGGCTGAGCAGTCAAAGTGTAGGGAATGTGCGCTGCACAGAGTCCTCCCAGGCATCCCCATGGATTATGACCTCATACAGAGAACACAAGAGTTGGGGCCGCTTCAGTTGGCTCTGGCCTCTCAGCACCACCCTGTTGCTAGCAAATCTGCTGTCATTTTCTCAGGGAGACAAGTTCAGCTGGAACCTAGGTTTTGTTGCCTCCCCTGGGACAGAAGGCTGAGCTCCAGAACCCTGCTATCAGGGAAGAGCTGCAGCCATCTGGGATCAAATGCCTTTTATTAAGAGACATGAGTACGAGTCCGAGTCGCTTTGGGATTCCTTCCCCTCCAGTGTGCCCTCAGCATGTGTTTTGAGATGGCCTCCATGCCTCAGATCTCTGAATTAAGTCACCACTTTTGTGGAGATGGATTTCTAAAGAGCCAAACCGTCAAGCTATTTTCAGACAGATTTTATATGAAGCCTGTTTCCAGTTAACTCTAAATGTGTTACTTTGAAGGGGGAAAACAGTTGTTCAATTACCAAACACATACACAACTCTACATGGATCCTTAGTTTTTTTACTCTGTTGTAAAGGAGCAGAGAAAATAGGTCATTGGCGGAGCTGCCTAGATAAGACAGTGGGCAGGGCTCTGGGGTGAAGTCTTCGCTCCGTGCATTATTGAAATCCTGAGCCAACAGTATTGACCTCTTTTCCAGCCTTAGGAACATGTTAACTCCTTCCACCAGGTGCCCTGAGTGCCCTCCTGAAATTGCTAAGCACATTCTTAGGAAATACAGGGACCACAGGGACCACAGCGTTGTGACAAATGAACTGTGAAGTGAATTGGAAAAGGGAATCATTTGGAGAAGCTACAGCGTCTTCAAGTGCTGATCACAGGCTTTTCTGTCTGTCCCTTCATTTGGTCAGATGTCCTTTCAGTACTGGAAGAGACTCTGTCATTTCCTTAGTGCCCTGGCCTTGGCCCAGCTCCCAACAGAGGTGTCTGATTGAGCAGCAGGTCACGTCTCACCCTTGTCCCCTGATTCTCCCTGCTAGGATGATTGGACAGGTGTGTGTAGACTTGGGGCATATGTCTCAGAGAAACATCTAGAACAGAAGAGGTTCATCTTAGTGTGCCCCTGGGGAGACAGCCCTCAGCTGAGAGAAGTAGCTGCCTATATAGGAGTTGGGAAAATTTCAGGGTGTTAAGGACCACTCAGTGCTTTACAGCTGAAAGCTGGAGAACAGGCTAGGGCCCCTGAGAGCCAGCAGGCAGGGCTGTGAATTGTTCTCAATCATAACAGAAACAGAATAATCCCTATCTGGGCCAGATTCAAAGTTCAGGAACGAATGTCTCTCTGTCCAACTTCTTCCATCTCTGCAGCCTACTTCATAGACTTTTATGTATTTTCCTTTTAAAAAGAGTTATTTTAAAATAGTATAAGTGTGCATTTGAGTTGAGGAGTGCTCACATGCTACAGTATGTGGGTGGGGTCAGAAGGTCTCTCTGTTTGTTCTTGCCTTTTATCTTCGTTGAGCCAGGGTCTCTCTTATTTACCACAACTTTTACCACAACCTAATGCCAGCCAAGCTGGCCCATGAGCTTCCAGAGGTTTCCCTTGTCTCAGCTTCTCACCTTCACGCACTGGCATTGGAAACTTTCGGTACTGAAGTACCGTGTTCCGTGTGTGGGTACCGTGTGTGGGTTCTGAGGATGATCAGGATGGTGGATGGTCAGGTCATCCTGCTTGTCTGGCAAATGCTTTACCGGCTGAGCTATCTCCCTAGCTCTAAAGAAATAGGTTTAATTTTGTAAAAGATTTATTCATTTGATTTTATGAGTGTGAGGGCTTTGTTCACATGCGTGTCTGTGTATCACGTGTGTGCAGTGCCCTTGGAAGAAGGCATTGGAAGATACTGGAGTTAACAGATGGTTATAAACCACTGTGTGGGTGCTCTCCAAACCCGGGTCGTCTATATGAACAGCAAGCACCCTTAACCACTGAGCTATCTCTTTAGCTCATGTTGTTGTTGTTGTTGTTGTTTAGATGCTGAGGCCGGAATCCAGGGCTTTGCATATGTGAGGCAAGTGTTCTAATATTCAGCTGAATCCCCCAACCCTAAACGTATATACGTCAATGTAAATAAAATGTTCTACCTTAATGGTTTCTAATGCATCCATATTGAGGTGCAAAGACCACCATTCATCTCCAGAGCTCTTTCACTCTGCAAAACAAGGACTTCTCATTCCCCCTCCCTCTGACCCCTGGCAGGTCCATTTTTCTTTCTGTCTCTGTGAATTTTATTACTGCAGGAACCCCATTTGCTTTTTCACCTGATGTCCTCAAGGTTCATCCAAGCTGTAGCATGTGTCAGAGACAAATCCCCACGATATTCCTCTGTGTTCTTATACCACATTTTGCTATAAGTTCCTCCATCCTTAGATAGTTGGGCTACTTTTACTGTTTATGAATGATGCAGCTGTGAGCCCAGGGCAGAGATAGTACTTTTAGCACGTATGGGTCTGACTCCAAGAGATAGCATGTTAAAAAGTTAACATGGCCGAGCGCCGAGAGATGATCACCCTGTCAGCTCTCCACTATGCAGGAATAAGGAGTTGAGATTAGTCCTCTGAAGTTCATGCCAGTTGACATTGCCACCTAAGAGATTATTGGGGGCTATTTTTGATTTACTATGTTACCTTCAGCATGACTGTATTAGAACAGTATTAGAAGTGTCTTTCTTGAGGAAATAGGCCGGTGTGTGCCGTTTTCTTTCCTGTGTGGAACTTCTACAGAAGCTACAGTTCAGCAGGGCTACTCTCTGACAAAGATCAGCCATAAATCTTCCAGCTCACCCTACAGTGAGTGGAGTCCAGGGTCAAAAGCAATAGTCCTCACCCTCTGTCCGGGTGCCCTGGAGAATATGCTGAACAGTGTGTTCTTTGGAGGGCCTGCTCCTGAACCCAGACAACAAGCCATAATTCTGGAAGTTCAGATGTGCAGTGGAGCAGGTTGGGTCCCTTGTCATATAATAACCTCACATAGAAATTGCTTGATATTATATGATTGACTTTTTGTTTTAAAGGGCTTATAGCGCATTACTAGAAAGTTCCATTGTGCTCCAGAGGAAGAATTTGCTGGAGGGTAGGGAAGATGTTGGTTTCGGAATGCCAGGCATAGAAAGAGCAGCACTTAAAATAGTAAATTGGGGGAAGGAAGTTATGAAACGCTACCATCCTTGTATCCTTGTTACTGAAAATTAACTTGGGAGATCACAGATGTGATGGTGTCATAGTAATTAAGCGGTAATAAAGCAATTGGAGATATACTGATACAGGCTGGGCTCCTAATAAAAGGTTCAGCTCAGACTTCCTTTCACAGTCCACTGATGCCATCCAAGAGATATTGTCAAGTTCCTGCCCATCCATTACAGATGTCTCCAGACCTCAACACCAGAGTTAGTTGTGTCTGTCTCCAAAATACTGGTGTTAGTTGGATTTCTGTCTCCCTTTATAATCTGAGCAATTCTTTTAAACATATTTTATACTTTTAATGTTTATTTATTTATTGTATGTGTCTGCTTGTTGTGTCTGTGCACCACATACATAAAGGAGCATTCAGAGGCCAGAAGAGGGATTCAGACCCCTGTGGGTGCTGGGAACCGAATCTGGGTCCTCTGCTAGAGCAATAAGTGCTCTTAACCACTGAGTCATCTCTTTAGACCCCTTGCATGACTCTTAAGGGTAACAATATGGTTTATGGTTTATCAAGTTGGTGAATTTTAAAGAAAACGAAAGGAGAAACAAACAGCAGACCCAGGGTGAAGGATCCATTTTCCTAGGTGAAGACAGATCAGAACGGGGCTCGCCAGCTGTCATTCGCCGTGGTGACTGTGAGTGAATATTGACACAGTATAGATGGTGGACCAGAAGAAGAGGACGGGAGTGAGAGGAAGAGGGAAGAGGAGGAGCTAGGAGCAGGAAGGGAGGCTACAAGAATGATGGCTCTCTCTAGATCTGTGAGCAACACTGCTTCATCCTCCCACGCTCTCATTTGGGAACCAGTCATTCTCCTGTAATCATGATTACATTCCCATTATGTCCTGACATTCTGGGACGTGCTCACAATCCAGAACTGTAAAACTAAATAGTGTGCAGATTAAAGCAATACATATACTTCATGTGTCCCCCCCCATAAAATAAGGGGTTCCAATAGATAGCCAACCAAAGCTAAAACAATGGAAAACTGTCAGAGACCAAAGTGACCTGAAGCCTGTACTGAAAGGAAAAAGATTTAAAATTGTTTTGCTTTCCAGCTTTTAAATGGGGTGAAAATAGCCACTGGTTCAGGTGATCAACATATGTAAGGATGCCCCCTTTGACAAGGTGAAGTGAAAGTGGTTTTCAGGGTTGAGATTTGGCTCAACAGGAGACAGCTTACTTAGCAACACTAAGGCCAGCATTCAACACCAGCACCAGGAAATCAAAACCCCAAACCACAAAACCCATAACACACCAGCAAGGAAACACACCAAGTGAATTAAAGGTTTATTACTTCCACCTTGAAAACATGCTAAATGAAATAATTCCACTACTCAGGGGAACACTAGTTCTTCCTATAAGAGGGGACCTAAAGGCCTGGAGAGATAGGTTAGTCAATAAAGTGCTTGCCTCAAAAGCACGAGGACCTGAGTTCAATCCCCAGGACCCACATGAAGATGCAGAGTGTGGTAGTATATGCTTGTGATCCTAACACTGGGGAGGTGAAGACAGTCGGATCTCTGGGGCTCACAGGCTTGTCAGTCTAGCCTAACTGGTGACTTCTAGGCCAATGACAGACTGTGTCTCAGAGGAGGTGAGCAGCGTTCCTACTAATGACTCAGACAATTGTTTTCTGGTCTACACATGTGCATACCAGTGCACATAAACACACATACACACATGTACACACACACGCACATTCACATATATGTACACACACACACACAAAACTTAAAAAAATAGAAAAAGAGGATGGAAATCTCATGGAGATAGAAAGTACCAGACAGGGCCATTGGCTAGGGTAGGCCATGGTAACTACAGTTTAATGGATTCAGGGCTTCAGTCTTGCAAGGTGTGAATACTTTGGAGTTGGATGGCATCATGGTACCATGTGGATACACATAATGCCACCAAATTGTACACCAGAGATGGTCCCAAAAATAAGTATGTATAGCTTCCTATAATTGAAACAAGTTTCTCCTTCTTATGAAGGATATGGGAGGCAGGCTTTGTGTCAGATTGATGCTAAGGAAGAGTGTAAGAACTGTAGGGCTGGTGGGTTAGCATAGTAGTAGGCTCTTGTCTTGAATGACATGCCAGGCCTTGGGTTCTTCCCCTATAGAGAGAATGGGGATAAGGAGAGACCTGGTACAGGTGGCACAGGGCTCAAGAGCAAGGTGACAATGGTCATGGCTGGGTTGGCACATCCTGGGTTTGGCACTTTGTCTGCTCTGACTTCACTCTTACAGCATACTGGGACTTCTGTCAAATGCCACTGTGTGTGAGAGGTTTCAGCACGCTACAGCCAGTCCTAAAGGGCTTTGCAGCCGAAACACTAGCTCTGTGGCAGCCAGAGTTTGGGAAGTGAGATAAGCTCCTTACATGGGCAGTGATAACCCTCTTTTGAAGGGCTTTAACAAATACCTTTATAGCTGTTATAAGGATCCCGTTTGATAAGCAGGAGAATCAGTCACTAGGTACATCTGAGGGTGCCAGAGAGCAGGCTCTGTCCTTAAATGCTATCGTTTGTCTCTTGTTCCTTGTTTGAGTGAAGTGCTGGCCTTTTGTTTTCTTGGTAAGCTGATCAGTCATGACCAGCCCAGGCTTTTCCTTAGGGACTGGCTGACTGTGACCAATTTGAGAAACTGCTTGAGCTGTGGGGACATCTCCTGCAAGCTAGAGCTGCCCTTGACTTTAAGCATGTTGGCTACCCCTTTGAGGGGCTTGGGCTCCTGGAGGCTGGTCTATCTAGTGAAACTATGATGTAACCTGGCATCCCACACTACCAACTCCAGGGATGCCCCTCGGCTTGGCCATACTGTGATTGGATGCTTTTCACAGACCTGTCCCTATTTCTGGAGAGACCTCCCCACCTTGGTGTAGGAGGAAGCTACATTTACTGATTCCATGGGAGACGCACCAGTACTAAACTCACAGAAACCAGATGGGGGAAGAATCAGAGAGAAGCAGGCTAACACTCTGTGCCAACACTGCTTTGGGGGAAGCCACAAGATGACACTTCTGAGGCACAGTTTCCTTATCTGTCAAATAGGGATAATAAGAGTAATTTCTCCCTTGCTTTCCAGCAGTGGTGCCTGTGGACCTACGCCAAGGATTCAGAGCCCCAGAGGGTGGAAGGGTGAACAGGATGAGGGTGGAGTTGTAAGTGAGGGGAAGGATGCTCCAGTCCAGGATTAAACACAGCAAGAGGTGGCAATTTAGTGAGAGAATTATACAACAGGCTTGTTTCCATTCTAGGTAGACACGGATACAACTGTATCAGTGAGCGTGTTCCTACTTGTGGCCTTTTAATTTACAAGTTTTAATGAGCAGTTTTCTGTCTTAATAAATCGAGAGTCCCTGTCCCAGTGGGAGTGTTTCTCCTTAGAGTGTTAAGTTTCACAGGCTTTATTTATTTCCCCCTCTTTCTCTTCCTTCATGCTGAACTTGAACTGGAGTCTCTGGTAGGATTCCTTTACAGAGGGTGCCTTCTCAGCCTGGAAGCTTATTTTATGGCTGGCAGGTGATTGTGTTAACATCAAATAAACCCATAGGTTAGTAAATAATGAGATTGTTTAAGATTAGTCTTCAAAAGGAGACAACTATACCTTGTAAAAATTTAACCTTATAGCCAGGAAGTGACATTAACGGTCTTGCTGTTGCTTACAAACTTGAGTCGACCCAGAGATGGAGAATTTGGTCTGAAACCTGATTCCCTTTTGTTCTTTTTTTTTTTTTTTTAATTTCTTTTTTTTTTTTGAACATGAAATGCTTTTTTATAGCATGTTTTACAAGGGGAGGGGGTAAGAGGGTCCAGATGGTGGAAAGGTACAAAATCTTCTTGGCCTGTGCCTTGGTACACTGCCTTGAATTATGATCTACCTGCTGTTCTTCAGAAGATATGGTACACTGCTTGAGTTATGGTCTCCCTGCTATTCTTAAGAAGACATGGTACTCTGCTTTGAGTCTATCTGCAGTTGTTAAGCAGGATCTTGCAGCTGCCAAGCTTCAGAAGCCCTTTTGTTCTTGATGAGTCTCTTTTGGTCTCTGTTTCACCTAGTCTCCTTTTACCAAAAGACAAATGGGAAAGAGAGGAGGAGTTTTCAGTCATCTTCCATCCCCTATCCTGAATTCCGGAGGCAATGATAACTTCTCAGCAAACCCCTACAGGTTCTAATCTATCGTTTAATAAAATCTGCTTAAATTATTGTTTCTGAATATTTTAAAGTTGCTACAGCACAATCTGGGTTTTGACGATACAATAGGATAGTTATATTAACATCTGTTAAATCAAAAAATGTCATATAATGCCAGGCCCAGTGGTACACAGCTTTAATCCAAGCAGGTAGATCTCAGGAATTTTGTGAGTAGCCTGGTCTACACAGTAAAGCCATATAATATGAAGTACCTTCTAACTCAGAGACAGGAAAAAAATGTAAGGGAAAATGTATGGATCTGAGACTTCCTGGCAAAGGAAGAATGTTTTAAAAAATTTCTGAGCAAACAAAACGTAGAATACTTTTTTTTTTTTTACATAGTCTCTGACTGGCCTTGAACTTCTGATAACCCTCCTGCCCCAACCTCATGAGTGTTAAGATCATAGGCACCTACTACAGGTGGCTACAATACTTCCTTACTTTCTCCTAAATGGGTAATTTACGTCTGTCAATCAGCCCTGGGCCTGACCTCAGCAGAGTTGTTGCTGTATTCCGCCATTTCAGTTCTTATATGATAAGTATGGGCTGCATGTAAAAGAAAAATTAAATTAAAACATTATCTGTTTGAATGTATATACTAGTGTAATAAACATACATCTTGTGTATCGTTTTTGGACTAGAACTCAGGGCCTTGCACATGCCAGATAAATGCTCTACCACTGAACTACCCAGTTCAAGAGTGAATTGGGGGTGGAGGGTGGTGTGACTATTGTCATACAGACCAGGCTTGTCTCCAACTCACTCTGGAGCTTAGGCTAGCCTTGAACTGCCTCTCTCCTCTGTCTTTTATGCTAGGATGACAGTGTGTGGCTCCACACCCAGTGCTGTGTGTTATTTTTACTGCTAGGGAAGGACAGTAAAAATTTTCATAAAACCATATTAGGAACATGTGTTAATTACCACATTTGCATATTAGATTGTCCCCTTGTGCACCAGTATTATACTTTGACAGGGTTTACCTTTCTTGTTTCCTCCAGCAGCTTTTATTTATTTATTTTTATTTAGTTATTTTGTTGTTTTGAGACAGGGTCTCTCTATAATATACTAGAATTCACTATGTAGACCTGACTGACCTGGAACTCACAGAGATCCATCTGCCTCTGCCTCCCAAGCCCTGAGCTTAAAGGTGTGTGCCACACCCTCCCTGGACTGGGCTGTTTTTATTTATATTTAAAATGTTTTATACGTCTGTTTCTTTCCAGATTACCGTCTTGGATGCAAAGCGAAGTATGAACGTTGGCATATTTCTTAAGCAGTTTAAAAAGTAAGATTTTTGCATGTATCTGGAATTGTAGCTATATCCATGCTATTGAGGTGTGACTGAGCTGAAATTCAGATTATAATCTTAGCTAGGGACATTCCGTCCTCCTCTATGTCCTTCCGAGATGTGTGGCTCTGTGGCCTACAAGTAAGTGTCTGTCTTTGCAGTGAGCTCACAATCTGGAAATGAGGAAGAAAGGCCCTGCAGTGTCCATTGGAGGCCTGTATATCAAGACTCTGTGTGTGTGTGTGTGTGTATGTGTAAGTCTTTGATGACCATTTCATATACACATACACAGGGTTTAGGGAATTTGATCCCTCATTATTCTCATCCCTGCTGCCCCGAACATGTTCTCCCTAATAAGCTAACAAGTACAATTCTATTTTGTTGTTGTTCACCTACTGAGTTAAATTATGGTTGCTTACATGAGCCCAGGGGTCATTTACAGGGATACAGGGAACTTATCAGTGGTTGTACCACTGAGGAAAACAGCACCAGTCCCAGGCACGAGGCCTTGTGAGCCCCTCATCAGGGAAAGTTTTCACTCATCCTCCCCTAAAGATCCCAGTGGTTGGTTCTGTCTCCCTGGGATTCCCAGGGACTTTTTCTGGAGGAGGGAGCCTTAGAGTGGTTTTCAGTAGTGGCACTGATAGGACCAGGAAGAAGCAGGTGGAAGAGAGGGAGGGGGCGGCAGTGGGGAGGGGGATGTGATTTAGTTCCCACTGGCTCACTTCCCTGTTGGCACTGGAATAGCGAATGCAATTCCCTATCTTTTCAAGGTCTCCTCAGTCCATCGTAGAGGATATCCATCAAGGAAAGAGTGAGCATTACGGGTCAGAGACGCTTCGAGAAATCCTTAAGCTTTTGCCAGAGTCAGAAGAGGTAAGGAACTTGGCACACCGAGTTGTGGGTGTTTGGAGTGGGGCGCAAAGGTATATGTTCTACTGGGTGTTAAAGGCCCTGTACGAAGGGTACCGTCCTTCCCCGGATCAGAAGGGTCTCGTGTCAAAGTAGAAGGTGACAAACAGTCCAACAGAAAGAGCCAGGCTTAGTGACAATGTCTGTTCACATGGAGTTGCGGTGCTGCCGGACTGAGGGCAAGGTTCTGAACACCTGCGTACTTTAGATTCCTCACCTGTAGAATGAGGACAATAGCCCTTACCTCATCGGCTCCCAAGATAACTAAGCCCTGCTTAAACAGCCAGCATGGTACCTGGCACACAGGAGCTCAATACATTTCAGGTATTTTTTCCCATCATCTTAACATTTGACCTTTGCTTAGAATGAACTCAGATTATAACACCTACACCTTGGGGTATTTTGTTTGTTTGTTCTTTTGGGTTGTTTGTTTGTCTGCTTGTTTGTTTGTTTCAAAAAGGAAAAGGAAAGCAGTTTTGGATCAAGATCCTGTAACTGTCGGTGAATATCAGTATACATAAGACGTTCGTATAACTGACTAAAAGGGAGGACTTGCTGTGGTCACAGAAAGTACTGTGCTAGGAAGGTACTGGTTTTGTTTAGACCAGATTAGTTATTGGGTAGTTAAGAGCTTCATACGAGAAAAGAGAATACCAATTTAAAACCTTACAAAATATATCTCTTAGTGTGTGTGTTGGGGTTGAGCGAGTTGATACAGTGCTCCATTGGAGGGCAGAGGGCAGCTTTGTGGACCCCAAGGGTCAGACTCAGCCCACACACACCTGACTTAAAGGCTAGAAAGAACCCTTACTCACAGAGCCAAACTCCTGGGCCTAGGCGCTAGAATAGGAATTGTTAAAGCCATCCACAGTTGTGAGGATAGCAACCCTTATTTCTGAAGAAAGATTCAAGAAGAAATTACCCACGTCCGTATGCTTATAATCACTAAATTAAAACAGCATATGACTTTATAAAAGATTTTATTTCTGTAAATAAAAGTAAAAAGAGGCAATTTATAAGTAGAAGGTAAGAGTGGCTGAAGTGTGGGTCGAATGTCTGAGGCGCTGGCAGATCCCTAGCGCTGTATGAAAAACAAGAAAAGAGGTAAGCGTCTTAGAAATCCTCTTTTCCAAAAGTCCCGTGGACTCCTCTCGTGGACCCCCCCACGCCACACGTCATTTATGGAAGCTGACTGTAATGCCATTAATAACAGGAGGCATGGAGTTTTTTTCTCTTCTGTTGACTGGATATTAGTGGGTAACTGGAGACTGGTCATAGTCATAGATATCTGACAACAGGACACACTCTCTCTGCCCCAGACTTGTTTACAAATGAAGTCTAATTTACTTAAGCCTGATTAATTACTGACATTTATTAATGTAAGTGAAGCACCTTAAAGAGCAAAGGTCCTTTCTCCTTTTTCCTGTATGAAGAATGAGGGCTTAAGAATCTTTGCTAGCGTAAGTAGGATCTAACATATTTGCATTTTAAAGAGATCATTTGCTTTCAGCTCTGGATGTAGCTCAGAGTGCCTCCGTAACATGCACGAAGCCCTGGATTTCAGTGGGTTGAAACTCTTCCTTCGCGGCCTCTTTCCTGACCCTCCTTAGGGTTGTTCTGAGTGCCCAGCCCTAACTGAACTTGCTGTTTTTAAAAAGAGATTATCAAATTTGACAGTGTGTGTGCAAGTACGCACAAGGCTCCTCATGGTAAACTGGGGCCCGAGGGAGGCTGCCAGCTTCGTGCTGTGGGGACACTGTTTTCTTAATATTTGTATTATTCATGTCCAGTTCGAAAATGATTAGAAAACAGAGGAATTTTTCCAAAGAGCAAATAGCTGTCAAAATGCCTCTAGTTTAAAGATCCTTTTTCTCTTGAGTTTTGTGGGATATCACTGGAACAAAGACTGTACAGAAGTAGGGGTGGGGCAAGTGAGGAAGAAGCACCTGAGAGCTAGCCTGGTCTTCCAGGTCCCCCAGCTCTAGTTAGTGAGCTAATTGCAAAGAAGCCTGGGATGGGACCCCTGGGGTGCCTTTGTATCCTCCGACTGCAGGCCAGAGCACACACACAACCCTGTGCAGGGTCATCCTCTGTCTAATCGTGTGACAGGCCTGTCCCTCATATATTGACATTACTGACTCTTGGCTGCAGCTCACCACACCCTTCACACTCAGCTTCAGTAGAAACACCCACCAGACCACCCCTGCTGGAGCTGCCGGGTGTCGGTGCTGTCCAAGGGGCTACAGGGGAAACAGAAGCTGCCTTAAGAATGCTTGTGGCCTGTGGTACTCTCTAGACTCTCAGAGCCCCAGTGGTCTACGAAGGAGGTGAATGGATACACTAAGAACATGGAGGTGCCTGGGCCAAGTGAGGGGTTTAGGAACGTGGCAGAGATACACGAACAAATGTTTAAGTGGACTGGAATGTAACACAGTTCTTAGTTTTAACACAGGAAAGGACTAGACTTCTCCGGAAACCCTCCTAGTGCCAGGCACTAGACGGGACAAAATGACATTCTGTAGTGCCGTATTTACAGCACTCATCCAGTGACTAGCACAGAGAAGGTCCGTCAGTCCCAGGGGTGATTATTCTGTAGCCTCTTCTTCATCTGCCCTTCACAGGGACATTAGGAGATTCACCTTATTCACAGGTTAGACGGTGCCTCAGGATTGCCAGATGGTACAAGAGGGATGGACTTGAACCCTAGTTTCTTTGACCCTGGGCAGTTCTTTCTGTTGCCCTCTGCTACCTTTCCTTGGAGGAAGGAAGGGCAAAGGTTGTTAAAACTGTGTGCCTCATACCACGTGGTCTGGCAGCCTGCCGTCCCCTCTGCTATCTCAGCCGCTGGTGTGAGCAAGTGCCATTCGAGCCCTCCTGTAACCTTATCAGCATGCTGACAAATATGAGCGGAAACAGCCGTTTTCGCTTCTGCCCATCTCCTCGGCTGACAGGCTAGCCAAAGCCAAGGTTAATTTGTCATCAGGAATTTCTCTGCCCTTCACCACTTATCCTTTATGTGGTCTGTTTGTTTATCTGTCTTCCAGTATATAGTTAACCCATGCAGAGGAAGAGCTGCCCCGCCCCCCATAAAAGTTTGAGGTGTGTTTTTTGTCTACCAGTGACTTCCATATCAGGGATGAGGGAGAGGAGGGGCTGGGGTCGCCACCCAGCCTGGCCAGCCCTGCTTTGGCTGTGGGCCACTGCTCTATTGACTGTCTCAGTGTCCTCGGTACACAGCAGGAAGATGCTGGTTGAGTTGCTTGCTCTGGTCTTTGGTAGCCACTCCCCCTGCCCCACACTGAGGAAGAAACCCTGGGCTTCCTGAATGCTGGAGCAGCCCTTGGTCGCTGAGCACACCCTCTGCCCTAGCGTTTTAGTTGCTTGGCCCCTGGCTCTTCTGTAGGTAGCATGTTTGTAGGAAGTCCTGCCTCTCTGAGGCTGTGCCAGTAGAATGGGGCAGGAGGAGGAGGAGGCTGCCATTTGGCCTTGTGAATCTTAAGAGCATGTTCTGGCTTTTACAACACACAACAGGGCACAACAGGAGTCATAAATAAGAGGCCCTTGGCTCAACCAAGCAAAATTATGCCTAACAGTGTTTAAGGCGTGATTTTTTGGTAATGACGAGAATGCATAATAATTACAGGTTGCTCACCTCTCCTCTTGCCTCTCTACTACTGGGAAGGCACCGTAATCCCTCTTAATGAATACAAGGCTTGCTGGGAACTAACATGAAGAACTATATGTGCAGCATTTAAATTTCTGCCTTCCATCTCCTTTCCCTTAAGATCTATAAACAGTTTGGGCCTTCTGCGTAAGTGAAGGAGATTAATTCTTGCTCTGTCACAGTTTAGAGTATGTTTAGTAGAAGTACATAAAGTTTACTTAGAATGACCCGTTCTTGTGCTCCAGCCTGAAGTTTGTGCCGTTTTCCTAAGCTTTGCACACAGTGAGCAGAGGGTCTTCTAAAAGGTGTAGCCTCATTCTGCCCCTGCCCATATATAGTGAACTGTTCGTTCAACTCTGCTCCAGGAGGAATCAGAATCCAGCCTAGGGCTGTCTCCGCTCACAAGCCAGGCGCTAGCTGGGTTTGAGCTAAACCGGAAGTGTTCAGAGTCCATATGTGTAGCAAGGTTTAAAAGTGGTAAATTCACTTTGCTGCTGTCTGCAAATGCAGTTTTATACATGGCAGTTTTCTGCTCTCACCGAAAAACAAGCAAACAGCAACAGACAAAACCAAAAAGCATCCCAGATGTAGTTCAGCAGCAGAACATTTGCATAGCAAGCATGAGGTCCTGGCTTCATCCTAGCCCCACAAAATGAAACAGGTGAGAAAAGAAGGTTTGAGAGAGCCAACATTGGGTTCCTAGTGCGGCCAGCACAGGCTACAGTTTCCACTGCTTTGAAGAGCTTGAAATCATGTTGCCGATAATAATCCAGAGAGTGGAAGAGAACACACTTGCCCAGAGCTTTGTGAAGAGTAATATGTCTAGGTGAGTGGCTCCATGGTAGATCTGGTGTGTAGCGTTACAAGACCCTGGGATGAGTATCCAGAGTTAAGATGAAGAAAAAACGTAAATTGGCCAGTACTTCCTCTCAACAGTTAGCTGCAAGCATAGGTAGCGCCTGTCACTAATGGGACTAAGGTACTACTCACCATAAAGATTCCTAAGAGTGTCCTTAGAAGTGATTTTACTCTTAGCTTGGTCCTGTTTTCTATGTAGAGAAGGCAGGACTTTTCTGTCTGATCAGTTTGAAAGCTTTGGATCTCAGCTTGCGAGTTCTTTTGCTGTATGCCCACACCAGAACTCTTTCCTACAAGGGGTAGATATATGTGTGTCTAAACACCTTCATTTAGTTTTTTTTTTTTATTAACCTGTTCATAGTAGATATGTAAAAATAACTAAAATAAGGAGCTAGTAAAAAGAAAAGCCACTGGTGACATTGCCACTTAGTTTACTGAGCCCTTAAGTATCTTACTTTAGATTAAGAGCATTACTGGTACATATTGATGGGATTCCGTATCATGTGCATGACAGAAGGCACTGATCCAATCCAGCTCCCTTCCTCCCTTCCCTGGATGAGCTTACTAATATCCATCCTACAGTCAAGACATTTCCTAGCCTCTGTGTAGGACAGACAGTATCCAGAGCGTGTCATCCAGCACCAGGCTTATTCCATTTACCGTAACGCCGTCTGGTTCCATCCATTCTGTTATGAAAGACTCTTGTCTATAGATGAGTGGTGCTCCACTAAGTATAACTCTGCAGGCTCTTTTCCTATTGCCTGCTGATCGGCATCTAGGCTCGTTTTATAGCTTAGCTACATCATAGGCAGACATCTTAACATCTATTGTTAAGTTGAAGCTTTTTTCCTTCTAACTACCTGCTGGAGATCCAACCTGTACTCACTCCAGTAGTGTAGTCCAGGCTGGGTTGTAGCCCACTGGAAGAGCATGGGCTCCCATGTCCAGGCCCTGGGTTCTATCCCACAACACTGAGGGCGGGGGATGAGGAGGAGCCAGGAAAGATGACACTATAATCCTAGCATTCAGAAGGCTGAGGCAAGAACATCGAGAACATCAAAAGTTTGAGGTTAGCTTAGGTTAAATAGCAAAACCCTATATAAAAAGAACACACCAAAACAATAGTCACTTAGATCCGCAGTCTGTTGCCTTGTTCTGAAAGAAATTAGTAAAGGGGAGAAAATGAGCTTATTTAGTTCAACCATGAAAAGAAAAAAAACCTGATTTTTCTCCCCAGTGGTGCCCAAGGCACTCTTGAGTTTATAGAAAGCCACAAGACAGAAAATGTGTGGATTTAGCTGGGAGCATTGCCCGCCCTTTCCTCAGGGAAGGCAGGGTTGCCTCCTTGTTTTTACTAAGCTGTCTTCATTCTCTTGGTATGGAGGTTACTAGTGTGCCTTTAGAATTTAGAAAATCTTCTTTATCATTCCACTGGGTTCTCCTTCAGCATATGTGGCACGAAGCATCTAGCACCAAGCATCTAGCACCTAGTGGGGGCTGTAACTGACTTTAATGCTACAGTTTTATTTTCTTGTTATTTTTAAGCTATTCACTTTGGATCAAAGCCATGGTACTAAAAGAAAGCACTGTCTAGTGGTTTCTCCATGAGCTGAGCCCCAGGCCACAGCATTTACCAGTCCATCGGAAGACCTGGGCCTTGGACTCCCAGGTCGAATGCTTGGCTCATCTGCTCAGGGTCCTGGGCACATCCCCAGATATAAAGATACATAAACAAGCAAGCAAACAAATAACACAATTGTTGTGGATTTCTTCTTCTTTCTCTCAGAACTATATTTTCTTAATTTCTATTTCTCAGTGAAACATTATTGTCTTAGAAGTGTTCTAAGATGAAATATAAAGTAATCTTAAATTTTAATCAATGATTTTGTTTTTTTTTTTTATCCCCTGTCCTTTTCTTTTGTCGTTTAGGTAAAGAAATTAAAGACATTCAACGGCGATGTGTCCAAGCTTTCTCTGGCAGATTCCTTTCTGTACTGCTTGATTCAGGTGCCAAAGTAAGGACCCAGTCCCTGGTGGCTGTTCTCTGTGGAGCGGGGTTGCTGCTGGCTTTAAGGCTGCAGCCTTGTTTCCTTATTGTGTTTTAGCTATTCACTTCGGATTGAAGCCATGGTGCTGAAAAAAGAATTCTTGCCATCTTGCTCTTCTCTGTACAAGGACATAACAATTCTGAGAGCTGCCATGAAAGGTAATTGGATATGTGTTTTCCACAGTTAGTTTTTGTCAATTCTGATGGCTGTTTATCTTTTTTAAAAAAATTTAGCAATGGAAAGTCCCACTTTGGGATCACCTAAAAAGGAGAACGGCGAAAGTAGAGATGAGCAGTTCACGTAATGAACATTAATTTGCATATTATCTTTCCATGGAAGAAAGTTTCTTTCATCTCAGGCTTCAGAGTAGACCTGGCAAGTCACAGCCTGTCTTGCTTCTCGGCAAGGTTAACTTTCCATGGTGTGTGTGTGTGTGTGTGTGGTGTAGATGGTATGTGGTGTGTGCAGTGTGAGTGTGTGTATGTGATGCCTGTGGTATGATGTGGTTTGTGGATATGTTATAAAGGTGTTTGCATTATGCTTATGTGTGGTGTTTGTGGTATGTAATATATATATATGTATATATATATATATATATGTATATATGTATTGTGTGTGTGTGTGTGTGTGTGTGTAGCTTGGTATGTAGTATGAGGGGTGTGGTTTTGGTGAGTGTATGTAGTGTGTACGTGTGTGTGGCACATGTAGGCACTACGCCTGTGTGTCCTGGACTGTCTACATCTTCCTTTCTCTGGCCTCTGTTGACTGGGACTGATCTTCCAGAAGCAGGCAGGCCTCCGTTCCAGGCTGCATGCATGCACACGGCATTGTGCCTTTTTCTGCCAGGGCTTCTGAGTTCTCTATTCTGTGGTTTCTCCCACCTTCTGTCCCTCTGGACTCCAGCATCTGAAGGTCTGTTAAGCCTGAGATAGATCAGCTGGTCCTTTCACCTCTTGTAACAGCTAAACTCTTCTTGTCCTGCCTCCTCTGTCCTGCTCTGCCTCCTAGGACTGAGGTCTTTGCTCCTGTGTCTCTAGAGTGTTAGAAGCACTGCAGCTCCCTGGCATGCACTGCCCTGGGACAGGCAGGGCCGTCCGTCTTCCTGTCTTCAGCTCTAGCCTTCAGAGCCAGCCTGGCTCCCTCACAGATACCTCTCTGGTTGTTTTTCTGGAACTGTTTATTCCTATTTGATGTTCCTGCTCACTGGCTCCTGCCTGTGCTGAGAGGAGAGCTTTCCTTTCAGCCCACCAGGGTTTTTTTTCATGTTAGAGCAGCACCAAGAATGAAAAGGATATTTTCCTTCTTCCAATATGGAGGCCTCTTGCAGTCCTTCCCGTGCTGAGGCTATTTGTTGCAGAAATGGTGAAAGGCCTGAGCTTCCTGTTCACACAGCCATGGGCGAGCTTGTTTTGGTATTGAGCAATATAAATTTGTAGGCACGGAGGAAACGTTTCTTATCTGCGTAACCTTCCCAAACTGGCCTTCTCAGATAACAAAATACAGGCACTGATCCAAATGTCATGTTTTGAAAGTAAGACCAGACTTGGTGGAGACTGCTGACCTACAAATATCATAGGTGACATTTTATTACCAATACTGTCATTTTAATAACCGAATGTTTGTTTTAGCTTTCCAAATGTATACTTTTAATTATGTTTCTTTATAGACATGTATAAGAGATTTTATATAAGTGAAGAATTTGTTTACCAATATGTTACCATAAATTCCCTCTTATAACCTTCAGGCAATCCAAATGAAATGTGCTTTGAATAAAATGGAAAGATGTTTTGGGTAGTAGGGGCCTGAGGGCTGGTGGTTTGCAAGTTATTTACATGACATCTCAACTTGCTTTTTTTTTTTTTTTTTAAATCTTTTCCTAACTCACTGGCTAAGCAAGATGATGCTGGCTATTGGTTTTTATATTTCATAAAAACAGTCTCAAAGAATAGCGAGAAAAGAGGGAAAAATCAAAGAATTATCTGCTGAGGGCAGGAAGTTGGCCTTCATGGCTCAGAGTGTCCTTGAGCTTCGGTGTTTTCTGGGACTTGGAAATTGTTAGTGAACCATTTTGCATTTGACTGCCCTACATGTTTGATCCCCAGCTAAGCACCAGGACATAGACCATCTTGTATTTCTATTATTATCATAAACATGATGCCAGCAGAGAGTGTGTTTGGTTTGGGGTGAGCTTGCTTCACACACACACCCTTGAACCTGGATGTGGTGGCTGTCGTCCGTGCATGTGAGGCCTTTCTAACGTGCAGTGGTGTGTTTCTTTCAACAGAGCTGATGTTATGTGAGGAGCTACATTCAATATTACACTTGGTGCTCCAGGCTGGGAATATCATGAATGCCGTAAGTATGATCCCAAACAAGGTGTATAATCTGCCCATCTGCTGTTTGACTGCAGGCTCAACACGTTTCTTTCTCTTGCCTTGTCTTCTTTAGGGAGGGTATGCTGGAAATGCCGTAGGATTTAAACTGTCTTCTCTACTCAAATTGGCCGACACAAAGGCCAACAAACCTGGAATGAATCTTCTGCATTTTGTAGCTCAGGTAAGTGATGTAGAAAGAGGGAGCGTGTGAAGACCTGTGGGAGACAGTGTGTTTTTCCCAGACATGAGATGGTTTCTCAGTTACGAAAAGGACAAAGAATGTGTCTAGAAGATTCTGCTTTTGGAAGCTTTGTGGATTGACAGTTTGATCTACTGGAGGGGACTGAGCAAGGGAGGCAATGAGGCTGGATTTTGAAAGTAGGGAAGGATTCAAACATGAGAGGTAACGATTTAGGGTTCATGCTAGCCATGGGAAGCAGGCAGAAGTTTGCCTGGTCTAATGGCATGACTAGGCTTTCTGTTTTAAGAAAGTAAGACATGTAAAGGATGGGTTGGAGAAGAGCAAGAGCTGGATCTTGAGAGACATCCTGGCTGTAGCTGTCTGATAGTTTGGTCTGGAAAGGGAATCCACGAGTGTAGAAGGCTGGGTGTGAAAACCTCTGGGGTAAAATGAATTTGACTTGTGATTAGTCTCTCGGGAACTGTGCATGGGACTGCCATCTGTTATTGCAGGGTTTGGAGTGTGACTCTATCCATAGTTTCTTTTCTTTGGAATCTGGGGATGGAAACCAGGGTCTTACCATGATGGGCAAGCAGTCTCTCAAGGGTTTCCCTTCCCCCAGCCTCTAGTCCTCAGTACTTGGTTAAAAAGTCAATATTCAAAGCACTGAAGTGAGAAACTGTTTCCTTATCTAGTCTGATACACTCTCTGGTGGGGCTCTTTTAGACAGACCTGCACATTGGCTCTCTGTGGCTTGGCCCCTGCTCCTGTAGGAAGGGATCCCCTAATTGGTTCCTTCCCACTTGCCCTTCTGAAGTCAGCCTCCAAACAGCTGAAGAATCCAGACACCTCCTTGGCTTGTATGCCTCTCATTAAAGCTGGTTTACAAACTGGTTTAACAGTCAAAAGCATCTCACGCCTTCATGGAAGTGCATGCTCATGGAGATGGCTGGTATTTAGGCAGGGTATATTGGGTTCTCTTGGAAACAATGGGTGCTAAGCTGCTGCCTCATTCCATTGAGTTTGAATGCACATGAGTTGAATTTCATGTGAGGATCGTTTGTCTTGGAAGGTTAAAGGTATCTGAACAGTGGGGGCAGTTCTGGTAAATCTTAGGAAGAATATCAGAGTTCATGTCTCAGAGGATTGCTTTCAATGTGATTTTCAAGCTGGAAACTAAGTGTGGTTTCCGAAGCTCCCTGAAGCTCTAAGCAGGGGAATGAGGCTCCCCTCTCAGATTTATTCATCTGGTAAGAAGACTGTCTGCTTTTGTTCCAGGAAGCCCAGAAGCAAGATGCCATCCTTCTAAACTTTTCTGAGAGGTTGCAGCATGTGCAAGAGACGTCGAGGTGAGCACAGAGGCAGAGCGCAGCGGGAGACCTGGTTTCCTGGATGGCCTTGCCGTGCGAATGGCAGAGCAATGAACACTCTCAGATGCCAGTCTGAACTCTGAAATTTCTCTTATTGTTTTCTCTTATTGAACTTTTGGGGTTTCCTGCTTGGTATGGTGTGTGTGTGTGTGTGTGTGTGTGTGTGTGTGTGTGTGTGTGTAATTTGGGACTTTGAACAATTAATTGTTATTTTAAACCGAAAGAAACCATTTTAATCTAATCTAGACTACTATTCGGTCTAAGAAAAATAGGGATTAGAACTTCAAATCTCTCCCACACCCAAGAGGCTGAAAGTGCTTAGCTTGGGAGTTGGTTTAGATCAAACTTGTAGGGCCATACATCACTGTTTCCTCGTGGACTTGAGCATAGTACATTTATTTTCTATTGTAGTTAAAGAGTTTGAAACCACACCAAGGCCTGTGAAAGGACTTGATTCTAAATTAGTCACTCGGTTTTACAGAGAAAGTGTCTACGAAGCATGAAGCCCTAATTGCATTACTCTAATTTGCTTCTAAACCTAATATAGAAGATGCGTGCTTTAATGCAACCATGATCTGTGTGCATATTATCTCCAACGTGTTATTTAACTTATAATAGGCCCAGGCAGTCTCTAGTAAATACTGCAGTTAATTAGTTCTTCTAAAAAAAAAAAAAGTCTTGATTTTTCACATTTGCTGATGTCTATGCCTTAAATACTGCTAGTCTGGCTGGTTTCTGGCCACCGGCACTGAACTATTTAATGTAAAGTTGAGAAGAAATGCAGAGTTGCCTCTGGTGAGCTGGCTCAGCTCACCACGGCCTGGATCAGCCAAATTAATATGATATACTTGTTTTCTTTTTAATGAGATCTTACTTCATTACCCAGGCTGGCCTGGAATCCTTGAGCTGAAATGATCCTCCTGCCTCAGCTTCTTGAGAATCTGAGACTGCAGGTATATGCTACCATTGGTGGCTATATAATGTCATTATTATGTGAGGGACTATAGTCGTCATGACAGCATGAACCATCTACAAATAAGGAAATAAACCACAACTCAATCCTGTCATTAGACAGTGTCTGTTACTGGCATCCAGCCACAGATAATGCCTTTCAAACAGGAGGATTACCTTTACAAAGATTAAATACCTCATAATTCATGTTTACAGTTCACTAGATTATGCTCCAAGAAAAACAGACATAAGATACAAACTTTTTTAAATCCCTAAAAGAAACTAATATGCAAATATTTTTACTGTGTTAATACTATGGAAATATTATATATAGAGAAAAAAAATGTTGTATTTTTGAGTTAGCATTTCTTGTTGGTATTGGAGAGCTTTAGCTAAATATCATAGTCTTAGAGAAACCCCTCCCAGTAAGGTTTGTTTATTTGAAATGGAAGACGAATGACATACACAAGTGAGGTATAGTGAATTTTCCAATGGGCACCAATGGTCAGTAAAGGTGGAAAACGTTTTGCACAACAACAACGAAAACCCTAAAATTCATAATAGCAACATGAATGTATCCAAATGTATAAAATTCCCCTGGATTTTGGGTTCTGCCTGCTCCCTTTCCTGGTAACAGAAGCACTGTGAGCATTCTGCTGATCTTGACTCAATGGTTAGAATCAAGTCCCAGCTGCTCATCTGCAGCATTGTTGGCCGTGTTTCGGTTCTCTGTAACGTACAGGGAGAGGTAGAGTCTGGTTGCCTGTGACCTGTTAGAGGAAGTCTAAAATCAGCCTCCCCGTTGCCCTGTTCCTTGTCAGTGAGAGCATCCTAACACGGGGATGCAGCTGCTCCGCATCTCACCGGATTTTAGTTAGGATGCTTGTTGCACAGAGGTGCTGAGACCTCCCGTGTGAGAAGTAACCCCAGCCCAGTGGCCTGTGCTGGTTGGCAGCCTGCTTTCCTTAATTCTTGTGTATTGAGGAAGCACTCAATGTCTTTTAAAAACAGTTGGAGACTCACTCAGAATTAAACACAGGAGTGGGTAAATGTGGCCCCAGTGGCTCCCCTGTTCCAGGTTTGGCCAAAGATGGGTCTTGTTTAGCCACATGACTCACGGTGCCCTGGTGCGAGCTGTCCACTCTCCCCTTCCTTCTACAGATTATCTCTGGACATCACCGAGGCAGAGCTGCACTCGCTCTTTGTCAGAACGAAATCTCTGCAGGAAAACATCCAGCGGGACCAGGAGCTGTGTCATCAGATGGAAGACTTCCTTCAGGTCAGTCCCTCTTTGCGTCCAGCAGTCTCAGCAGGCCTGCCTGTTTGATTTGTGGAGGCAGCAAGCGCCCAATCATGCTTTTACCCCAAGTGAGTACAAGGACCCTTGTGCCCCACTGCCCTTTCACGGCAGAGGATGCAGAGCGACGATGATCTGAGAAGGAGAAATGGCTTCTGATGACTGTGCCTGGGTCTTCTGATCACCCTTTCCTGTGCTGAAATGGCGACAGTCCAAGCCTCTCTCCCCGAGACTCTGCCTGGCACCTTGAGGTTTGATTCTGTAGCCTTCATATTTTTTGAACAAGAGTTCCACAGAACATACAGATACTGGAGGACTTGGGCCGATGCTCCTTCTCATGTTTCTGTAGAAGAGTGAGACCGATTGTACCTGTCCTGATTTCTGCTGCAAGCAGCAGGACGCACACAGCTTCGGTGCCCATCAGCACACGAATATGTCATCAGCCCACAGGGTGTGGCAGGAGGCACTCTGAATAACATCAACAAAAACCAGTAGAGTGGATATGTTTGTGACAGCTCACGGTGACTCACTAATCACATAGTCTGACGTGCTTTTTTGTGCCTTCCTTATTTAAAAAACAAAGTGATGCCTTCATCCTGTTGCATTCAGCCTTCTGTGAGACCCCTCAGCCAGGCCAGGGCTGCCATGGCAGGAGGCAAGGACAGATGCTTGGCCATCAAAGTCTTCACTGCTTTGAAACTGAGGCCTCGTGCCTGCTAGGCAGGTGCTGTGTGTACCACCCATGTTGCATCTGCAGTCCAGAGGCTGCTGCCATCCCGGAGCACAGAGAGTAACAAGCACGGTCAGGTGCACGAAGCCAAGTAGAAATCCAAGAATAAGAATCGTGGCACATCAGAGCTTAGATTCTGTTTGTTTCCTTCAGCCTCGTTCTTATTTTAACTATCAAGAGCTTACACTAAATCTTTTGTTCTGGAGATGCTAGGGCTTGAACCAATGGCTTTGTACATGCTAAGCATATGCCCTCCAGACGTAATCTTGTGCCAGATCTTAACATAGAAGGCTCCAATATAAAGACGCGGTTGCCTTCTCCTTGCTGCTGGCTGCTTTTCAGTGGCAACCTTGCTTTAGAATTTTTTTTTGGTAGTGTTCTTTCTAACAGTGCTGAGACTGGAATATTGTTCATGCTGAACCAGGACCTTAAAGTTTCTGCTTCAGCCTCAGCAGCCCTTATAACCTGTATAAACAGAAGGTACCACACAGACGGGCATTTTCTAGAGTGAGATGAGGCTCCTGAGAGTGGGTTGGGACGGGGCCACTTTCCCTTGGACACCAATGGAGAGGTGACGCATCTCTTGCTCTGAGGAGCACAGAGCTGCTCAAGGCTTGTGGCTTTGTTTTCTCATTTGTTGGGTGACTGGGTTTGCTTGTATGTGAGTGTATGCTGGGTAGGAACCCAGGGCCTCATACATTGCTAGGAAAGTCCTTCCAGCCCTTATGCAAGGACTTTGAGCAGAAAGGTGACAGAAACACTTTTCTTTCATTCTTATTTCATCATTTCTGATTCCATTTGGGTGAGACGTATGGGCCTTGACTGTAGCTCACAGCAGGCCAGCAAGTTAGTGATGGACATGCAGCAGGCTCATCTCAGAGCCATTAAAAACTGTTACAGCCACTAGACTGTCACGGCTACTAAACTATTGACTCCTTGGCCAGCGCAAGGAGTTCTGGTTCTGTGTAGGATGCTGTAGAATTTATGGCATCAAACTCCACTGTGGCTGTTTTTCAAGCCAACATTTAGAGTGTTTGGTCATCCCAGGTTCTGAGGGCAATGTGGGCTCTGTTAGGCTATTTCTTCCTGGTATCCATCCATCCATCCATCCATCCATCCATCCATCTATCCATCCATCCCCACGGGGTCTTGAAGCTACATCATAGGAGGTGTGGGTTTAGGAGGCCCGCTCTTCCGCAGCTGTCCTTAGCTGTTTGCCCTGCAGAAGAATGACAGACCAAGCCTTATCTTATTTTTCTGCGAATACCCTCTTCTCTGTGAAGCTATATAGCTATATCAGGAGGGCTCTTGCTGCCTCAGGCCGTCAGCTCAAATTCTCTCCCCCCCCCCCCCCTTTCTCTCTCACTTTCCTAAACAGTTCATTTCCCACTGCCCCTAGAATGAAACTGGCTAAGCAATGGCTTGCTAAGGGAAAGGCAGTTGGTACACTTCCACTGTGTAGCTAGCTGAGTGCTCCCTCCTCCAAGGAGGGCAACCTGTTTCTTTCCTACACCTTAGGCCCAGCCCCTCGCTCCAAAAGAACTTGTTCACAGGTAGACTTTCTTAAGATACAAGCATACCCGGCATTTCATGAAATACTATGCTCGCTACATTCCTTCTCATATAAGCGTAGTAAACATGGCAGTAATGAAAGACATCCATGCAGTAGCTCAATTATTCAGTCCCCTTTCTCTCCACACACTGACACCTCATTATGGCTCAGAGGCTGTCACTAACCTGTATCAGGGAACTATGCTTGTGACCCTTGGACATCATCAGCCCCACTCTATATGACTTGGGAATGTGCTGGGGACACACAGTCTTCTATCATGCCCAGTACTTTGATGAAGTAGCACTGAAATCCTTGGCAGCCTTAGAAACTGGCATATCCCAGAGGAGCCCAGGAAAGTCAATCAGGAGAGTAGGGATTGGGATAGGACCCGCCTGAATCTCCTAGGGAGTTCTGATACATCCCAAACCTACTGCACGTGGGGTACAGCTGCTCAGGGAGTACCCCAGTCTTCCATCCTGGGCAGTAGGGACAGTGACCTAATAGAGTGTATTTAGGATTAAGTGTAGATCCCTTCTCAGTAAAATGGCATGGGCAGCTTGTCGGGACAAGTTAACTTCTGAGAACTCGGCCCAAAGAAGAGTCTGTTTTAAGAGGAGGAAAAACAAATACAGCAAAATTTCTTAATGACGACAAGCTGTTTTCCTTGGCAACTTTTCTAGTGGTCTTAAAGGTGAGCTCTTGGTAAATGACATTCTATATGAGGGTTAAGGCTCCATGTTGACTTACTTAGAGACAGGGTCTCGATGGATAACCCAGCTGGCTTTGAACTCCTCATCTCTCAGTCCCCATCTCCCAAATACTGGTATTACAGGTGTGTACCACCCCTTCCCGGCTTCTTTAGTTCATTTTGTGGCCTCTGGGTCTCAGGTAGGAGGTCACCTTGTTCTCTTGAGCTTTGGTTTGGGTTGATTCATTTTCCTTTTGGCTCCAAGTGTCCTTTGCAGCTTTCCCTTTCCAGAGACCTGAAATCGAACCCTGGTAGCGCATCCACCTCAGCCGACCTTGTTTACCACGTGTGCCCCTGTTTGTCCTCCTGTAGTTTGCTGTGGAAAAGTTGGCGGAGCTGGAACTCTGGAAACGGGAGCTGCAGGCTGAGGCTCACACCCTTATAGATTTTTTCTGTGAAGACAAAGAAACCATGAAACTGGATGAGTGCTTCCAGATATTCAGAGACTTCTGTACCAGATTCAACAAAGCAGTTAAGGTATGGCTGGTGACACTGCCCTGTTCCCAGGGTCCTCGGGCTTTTCATTTTCCTGCTTACTGACCCAGTCCTCTGCCTGTGGCAGAAAGATGGTCATCAGTTCTTTGGTTTCAGGACCGTCTGGCCAGGTGGCATGCCAGGCTCTTGGCAGGGCTGAGTGGGAGGTGGCTGTGTTGTAGTATCAGTACTCTCTCACGGTGGCCTCTGGTCTTTACTGCTCATACAGCATGCAGAATACCCTAGAAGCATTTAGCTTAGCCAACACTGCTTATGGTGATGGGACTTGGAAGTTTCCTGTACATTTGACTCTTTTTCTCAGCCCCTCCCTAGGAGAAAGAAACCTCCCTCTAGGGAGGTTTGAGTAGCCTAGAAGAGAGGCCTTTCTTTTGCCTGTTTCCAGAGACATACACTGCTGTGGCGTCAGCATCATAGGTACCAAGCTGTCCTTAGCAAGGAAGGTCTCTCAGATTGAGAGGGGCCTGCTGCCTTAACTAGTCTGGCAGTGGTCGCTTAATTGAATCAGAAGCCAGAAAACTTCCTAGGTTGCTGGTCCTTGGTAAACGAAACATTTATCTGACAATGGGAACATGACAGCCTCTCATCTCTGACAGCATCCTTCTCAGGTCTCATTACTGAGGGACTGGCTACTCCTGATTTATCTGCTGATCATATTTTATTTACTTACCTGCCTACACATTGATTTGCCGTGTAGGTTCAATCCAGGGTTTGCACTATTTCTTACTGAAGCTGCTCACATTTCTTTCAAGTCCAGAATTCCTTTGGGTTCCTCTCCACTCCTTTCTCTATCTAACTGAGAGGCGAGCTGAGCCTGCTGCCACGTTAACATGCTTCTGTCCAAGCAGTGAGCTCAGCTGTGGGAGGCCGTGGGGGGTAGCCGAAGCCAAACTGACTCTGAGGCTCTTACTCTCCATCTGGATACTACAGGCCTGTGAGGCCACTGGGGATGCTCTTACCCCTGTTGTCAAGAGAGACAGGGCCTGGACCACCACCACTATGTGAAGGCTTAAGATAACAGTAATGAGAGTTTGGGGACCCTGAGGAGGCTGTGGCTAGAGTTGCAGGAGCCAAGACTCCCCAGGCAGAGCTCCACAGGAACTTGGAAAGGAGAGCTCACTGGAAGAGGAAACTTATTGTCAAATAAAAACTGCTAACAATAACAGAGTTGAGGTGTCTGCATAACTACATGGTTACATGGGCTTAGGACCCCCCAAAAAAGAATCTCACACATTACAACACAAATGTAGCCATATCTGTGTACCTATGCCTGCTGATTCAACCAACTGCAAATTGAAAATAGTGTTTAAAAATTATATCTGTGCTAAATGTCTACAGATTTTTTTGTCTCACCTTAAACAGTGCATATGTAAGTCTTACACAGCATTAGCTATAAGTGATTTAGAGTCAATGAAAGGCATATATGAGGATATGCATAGGATATATGTAAATTCTATTCTATTTTGCATAAGAGACTTGAGCATCCTCAGATCTGGTATCCAAGTGGGAAACAGGAATAAGTCCCTTGAGTGTATGACAGACAACAACACAAGAGGTCACACAGAGAAGTTAAGGACACTTCGGAGTCTGCACTTTGGTTCTGTGTCATCGGGAAAGGTTGACTGCTTTCCAGTCTAGATGGCTGAAGGATTTGTAAAGCACGCCCATTTCTCTTCTCTGATTGTAGGAATGGGCCTGGGCATGAGGGACAGAGCCCTCAGCTCTGCCTCAGGCAGAGCCGCCAGGGCATCTTTTGTATTTTTCTTTTATTTTCATCCAGGAGCACTCCAAGAACACAGTGAAAGGCATCTCCCAATGTCTTTAGCATATGCCTATATACCCCAATCAGTGGTAAACAGAATGTCCTGTTTGTGAGTTTATGTGTGTTAACTTACAGAGGAGAATAGAGAGAGCCACACGACTGGTGTGTAGAGTTCTGGGTGCACTCTTATAGCATTTGTGGTCTCTACATCTCTGCAATTGCCTAGGTGGCTTGGAGTTGAGACTGCATGGATATATGGAATCATAGCCCATGTGGGAAGCTGGACATTGGGCCGAGGGATCAAATGAGGATTGCAGGCAGATTGTTGGAGCAAAACCTAGCATGCTCCTTTGTCAGATCCCTAAGTTGCTTTAGGAAGTTTGCCCACCCTACGCGCGCGCGCGCGCACACACACACACACACGTACAGACAAAGGCAGAGTCTGTATGGGTTAGGACCCACAGCTGTCTATGAAAGCACCTCTCATTAAATGTCAAAATGAGTGGGCCTAGGATTGCACACAGGCTCTCTGTGTCTCATGCTGGCTTCTCTCCACTCTATTAGGACAATCATGACCGGGAGGAACAGGAGCGGAAGCAGCTACAGAGGCTAAAGGAGCTAGAACAGAAGCGGCATTCCTGGACAACTGGGGAACTCGGGGGCTTTGGCAGGAGCAGCAGCGAGAACGACGTGCAGATGCTAGGTAAGAAGGGCACAGAAGACCTGCCCTCCTTCCTGAAGCCCAGGCCCAACAGCCCCTCCTACCGGCCCCCCAACACCCGTCGCTCCCGCCTCTCCCTGGGCATCTCTGCTGACCGTGAGCTTTTGACCTTCTTGGAGAGTACCACCAACAGTCCAGAGGACCCCAACAAATTCAACAGTTTGCCCCGGAGCAGTCCCCGGCAAACTCGGCCCACCATTGCCTGGATGGAACCCAGAGAACAACAGAACCATGGCCCTAACTTTACACATGAACCTCAGGCCTCAAAGAACCAGGAGAAAGCCCCTCACCCTGCTTGGCAAAATCGACTTCCAACACCCTGGCTGGAGGAACCCGCTTCTCCTTTTCCACTAGCTGGGCGGAGCAGGCCAAGCCTCCGAAAAAGGAACAGTGAACCTGTGGGCTTGGGACCCGCACAAAGCCCTCCACTCTTACCATTAGATCTGGGCATTAGGGAGCATGAATTGGTCACAGGTCTGACCCAGTTTGACCTCCAGAGTCCCAAGAGCCCGGAGGAAGCATCCCAGCTGACTCTGAATGACTTCTGTCCCACAAAGCTGCAATCTCCAGGGGATAGGAGTTCACAGCCCTTTGATGCTGGCGGTGACAGCCTCCCACCCAAGGACACAGATCCCCAGGAGGTTCTCAGCCCAGCTGGGGAGGATGACAGGGATATCACTGGTGAACCCAGCAGTGAGGCTCTCGTGTCTGTGGTTGTCACCGACACTGAAGATAGAGATCCTGGATCTCTGTTGTATGTCTCAGATACCACAGACTGCTCGTTGACTCTGGACTGCTCCGAGGGAACGGACTCCAGACCAGGAGGAGACAAGCAAGAAGAAGAGAAGGAAGGGGATGGCTCGGTGTCCTCTGTGGCTGGCGAGGCAGGAAGTAGCCAGATTTCCTCCAATCCTGTTTCCAGTACCCCTGGGGAGGTTCCTACTCCAAAATCCAGTAAGAGCGAGCCCAGCTGCCAAGGTGGCCTTCCGAAGGACAGACCCAGCAGAGGGAAGGATGCCATGGCACCAAAGAGAAATTCCTTCAAAGAGACATCAGTGGGGGCTTCGAAGCCTGTCAGTGCCCGCCGCAGCCAAGGGGTAGCACCCAAGCCTGTGCGAACCTTGAACTCCTCCGAGAACGAGCATATGCGCAAGGTGGTCCCCATCTCTAAGTCCAGCAGGGGAGCAGGGCCCTGGAAGCGGCCGGAACTGACATCCAGGATTACCCCTCGAGAGACACCCAGCAGCACAGACACACAGCTATCAAGGAGGAGCTCAGTCCGGGGAACTTCAGACACTTCGCCCAGGAGGCCCCAGGTGAGTGGTTCTGGGGCAGAGGAGCCCAGGCTGCCCCGCTCAAGTGGCAGCATCAGTGGACGGCCAGGGAAGGAACCCCTGCTGCAGCCCAGAGCTTCATTCAGGAAGCCCAGTGCCAAGCCCCTCAGAAACATTCCCAGGCAGAAACCTGAAGAAAACAAGGTCAGTAGCCCCAACTCGAGAGACCCTGAGAGTCCCAAGGAAGAGCCCAAGGCTCCTCAGGCTCCGGGTGTCTCTAGAGCCCTTCCCCCCATCCCAAGTTTTGCTCGAAATACGGTGGCCTCATCATCTCGGAGCATGCGAACGGATGCTCCACCCGCGGCCAGAGCCACTGGCCTCACCAGGACCGTCTCCCAGCGGCAGCTTAGGGTCAAAGGTGGCTCCGAGGATTCTGGCTCCAAGGACAGTGGCACTTTGAAGAGGGCCAGCAGCGCTCGGGCCTCCAAGAAGTGTCCTGAATCTACTGGGGGTTCAAGTGCCAATGTAGAAACCCCACTGAAGGGCAGAGGGACTACGGAAAGATCCTCTCTCAGACTGAAGGACTCGGGGCAGGCCACCCTCGGGAGGATCCTCCATCCCCTGCAGAAATGATGAAGCCTGTTTGCTTCTCTGCCTTGTGGGATTTTAGCTGCCAGGACTGGCTGCTGGGGGGAGGACACAGAGGCCAGTCTTAAACGTCTTGTTACACATCAAGGAACTCACTGGTGCCACCTGGTTAAGGTCACGTCACTAAAGGTACACGGAAAGCTATAGCCTGCTGTGCAGACTTCCACTTCGAAATCAAAGCTGAGAGTATCCTTATTCTGCACAGGACTTTGTCAGGGGCTGGCACCTCCTGTCACTCATACTCAGGACCCTATCCCTAACTCCTGCCCCGAGACAAAGATCCAATAATAGTCTGGACATGTAAGATGACAATTCTTATGTAACAAGTAAAGAAAAATTTCTGGCCAGTTTTTATATATCAAAGACTTATTTTTTAATATTATAAAAATAAAAAGATGTTTTAGTTCCTTTTTCAGAGTGAAATGCCTCCCAGGGATGGGGGGAATTATCCTTAGTATGAAAATGTTTGCACCTTCATCCCCCAGCCCCTGCCTCTGGGTTCCATCAGTGCATATGTATGAGAACACACACCATCCTGAGCCAACAGTGGCCTCTCACAAGCTCTTGGGTGGCTGTAGGGTTGAGTCTGTTTCCTCGAGAACTTTCTGGATAGCTTGGGTTCTCCTCAAATGACTCTGGGTGAGGATTTTATGTGACTAGGAGGGGTGTCAGATTTGTATGGGTAAAAGTCTGATGTTACTGTGAGTTTAGGGGGGCCTCAAGGGTGTGAGGCCCATGGGGGAGCCCATGGCTATAGGGAAGGTTGCTCTGAAGATAGGGCTAGCTGTGTAGGGGGCTGGATTGCCCACAGTCCATGTCGTGTTCTAGTGAGAAGACATCAGGGCTGCTCAGCCAAGCATGTCCTCCCACTTGTGCATCGATGGCCACTCGCTCTGGATGGAGAGGGAAATGACCTTTTTTGTGGGTCAGTCTTCCTTCTTCCTGGGACTTTAGTGCCCCACCCCTGTTACTCTATTTGGGTTGCTTTTAGAGACTGGATCGCACTGTGTAGTCTAGGCTGGCCTCTTACTAGCAATCCTCCTGCCTCAACTTCCTGAGTGCTGGGATGATAACAGGCACAAGGCACCAAGCCCAGCTTAGTGATGACTTCTTGGTGTCAGCCTCTCATCCTTGGTCCATCGCTTTTTAAGTCCAATTCAGAGGAGCCCAGTCAAGGTTGTTTGTTCATTTTAAATAGACTCTCATCCCCCAAGAAACATTGACTTCAGAAATCCTAACACTGGGCAAATTTGCACAGGAGATAGGTATTGTACAAACAGCAGTTTTACCCAATGTTCGTTTCACTACTTCTTTATTACACCCAGGAAATAGAAAGAAAAAAAAAAAAGCCTGAAATAAAAGCCCCGCCCTCTTCTCTCTGATTCACTTCTTAGTGAAATCTCACTTTAGATCAGACACTGGTGAGTGGGTGAGCTAGGTCAACGTGTCACACGGTGTGGTGACTGCGGATGCTGCTATGGTCTCCTTTTGGGAAGCCTCTCCATCTTTGTCTAAGAACTGAGCTGGTGCTCCTGAGCTGCAGGAGTTGAACAGTACATCGGCAGAGATAGGCTGCAGTCACCATCTCTTGTTCAAAACAGCCCTGAGCAAGAATGTCTGGGCAGCTAGGAAGCCCCTCAACAACCTGTTACCCTCTAGAACCCTCCAGAATCAGACAGATAAAACTTTCAAACAGAAAGCCTGTGAGTGGGTGGGAATGGATAAGAGAAGTCATATGCTTACGGATTGGGGACGGTGAATGAGTAGCCGCATGAGAGGGCCCAGGGACCCATCCTTTGCTGTATTCCAACACCGTGTTGCAAGCATCTACTCTCCCTAAGTGTCTGTCTCCCAGCCCATAGAAGTGAGCCAAGGCCTTCATGATGGTTTCCAGGAATCTAGCAACTCAGTCATCCCGTGTCTGCTCCTAATGTGGCTTCTAGGACCCTCAGCAGAGGCTGAGGAGCCTCTGGAGAAGCCTGTTGGTATGGTGCTGTCAGATCACATTGGCTGTGTGCTTGGAAAAGCAGTGGTATCCATGGTCCTGTGCCCACCTGCGTGAACAGGCGGTCACTCTCTTACTACTTTTTATATACTGTAAGTTTGGAAGAATAATCTGTGCAGCAGAGAAATGTGAATACGTTCCTACATGCGTTTGTGGAGGGTGAACTGAATGCATTTTAAGGTCCTTTTCTATGTGCTTTATGGAACAGGTAGTTTTAATAAAGTTTTTTGTAGGAGTTATACCTACGCTATGCCTTTGTACATGTGTCTTAGTTGTCCTGCCAGGAGAGTGTTTAATTTTTTTCTCGGAAAGAAGGTGAGATGCAGGAAGAAAGTGTGAGGGTATGGAAGTCTCGTCCTCCAAAGGCTCAAGCGTCAGAATAAAGTTCGGTGGTGTGTCTTAGTATTGGCTCCATACAACACACACGTAACTAAGGGCCCGGAAGCGGGCCTCGCTGCATGCATGTAGGGATCCAGGGACAGGTTTATCTCACAAGCCATTATCAGAACACTTGAAGCTCCTTGGAGCTCTCATTCCAGGCACGACCAGGCTTTGTGTGATGGGGCCCGGCAAGTCCAGATCTGTCCCCATGTGTCCTCTTTGAATTGGGACACTCATTGAGAAATCATGGTTCATTTGCTCAGCAGAGGGAGGGAGGTGTTGAACTTGAAATGCACTGTGGGTGCATATTTGAAAAAGAGAACATTGTGGGTAGGTGCACCTCATACCTCAGCTTCGAATCACATCGTAGCCCTAGCTGCTCTGTCTGAGAGCAGGCTAGAGGAATGTCCCCAGGCATCAGCATCCAGGATTCTGCACATCCATGTGTTCAGGTGAGAGATCCTGGGCACTTCAGTAGAACTATTAGAGACCTTTCAGCAGTGTACAAATTCATGACCATCTGCTTTCAAATGTGCAGTATCCTTGCCCTGGGTCTGCTCCTCTGGCAAGGACTCCATTTTGTAAACTTAGAAAATTTGCTATGAAACATCATTCTTAGTTTTTCATTATGCTTTTACTCATATTTAATTCCTGCTATGAGTTTTTGTTTTGTTTCTCCCCCTCTTCTTCCTCCTCCTCTTCTTCCTCCTCCTCTTCTCCCTCCTCCTCCTCCTCTTCCTCCTCCTCCTCCTCCTCCTCCTCCTCTTCCTTCTTCTTCTTCTTGTAAGTGTCCACAAACATAAATATCAAACATATAACAAAATTTGACTAAGAGGCATTCTTCTGGTCATTCAGCAAGTGTTTCTTAAAATAACGTGGTCCAGTGGCTCTGCAGACACCATACTTAGCATCCTCAGGGTAAGGATGTGTAGGTCAGACTAGCTACATGGCACGACTGAGCACATAACCCTGAGTAGCCTCTCCTGGGGCTTCACCATCTCCAGTCTTCCATATTACATATGCTGTGCCTCACTTGGCCACCTCCGTGAAGACAAGAGTAGCCAACAATTGTTTTTCTTTTTTTCTTTTGTCTTCCAGTCCAGAGCTCTGCAATGGAGCTTTTGAGTTTCTGTTTGGTAGGAAAGCTGACTGTGCCCAAAGATGATCATGGCTTTCAAAGCCAATCTGTCCATGCCTAGACCCATGGCTGTGCCATCCAGGAGCCTGGCATCCATGGCCACCATCTTGTGGGGTGAAGGTGCTAGACTTTTCAATGAGGAAGTCTACTTGAGATCCCCAGTGTTGGGTCCATGTGGGGAGCTTGGAATCTGGTCCTAGGCTTTGCCCTGGGCCACTTCAGGCTTTTCCAATGGCCAGGTCATGCAGACAGTATCTAACCTGCAAGCAGATGCTCTTCTCAAAGTTTATCTGGGTTTCAGTTGAGGAATTGGGAATGCACTTTCCCTCAGTAGTCATGTCTCACCCCCAGAAGCAGTTCCCCAGAACAGACCCTCTGCTACACAGTCTGAATGCTTGCATCGGCCCTCTGCCTCCACACACCCCATCTGATGGAGGCTAAAGCCAAGATGGTGGTGATATTAGGAGCTGGGGCCTCTGGGAAATGCTTAGTGTGAGGGTGGAACTTTTGCAAATGAAGGTTAGTGCACTTACAGAAGAGCCTTCCATGTGTGAGGATCCAGCAAGAAGGTGCCATCATGAACCAGGAAGAAGCATCTCCTGTTTTCTTGATCTTGGACTTCATAGCCTCTAGAACCATGGGAAATCAATTCCTGTTTTTGGTAAGCTTTTTGGTGTGTGGGAATTTGTTATAATAACTGCATAGACTATGACACCATCTATCAGAGGGCTTTGGCTGTGATATTGTCACAAAAAAGGAACACCATTTATAGCAGCATTTCTAGGGCAAAGTACAGCATTCCATACCAGGGGTGTCAGGAGTATTCCCCTCACCCCCATTTCCTAACAGCAGTTGAGGCTAAGGCACACGACCTGCTGGAACAAGTTATCAGTGATCTAACTTCTCCACTCAAAATCAGCTCCTCGGGACAAATGCAAAGGCAGGCAGAAGTGTAGATACCTTCTAGGCCAGCCCCAGGAAACATGGGCAATTTCTCAATGATTTCCTTTTGCCTGTTCTTGGTAAGACACACATTGGCCCCACAGAAAGGAGATTGCTCCCTGCTTTTCATTTCCCAGAAAGGAGGCTAGATTCAGCTGTCTGCTGCCTGGACACCCTCGAGAAAGCTGCAAGCATGGTGAGAAGGTAGCCAGTGCTGCCAGCTGGTAGTTAGGCAAGTACACAGCCGTGGTGACAGACAGGATGTTCCATGCAGACAGTGAGCTCTCCTTGGAACCTTCCAGATCTGGACACCCAGCAGTACCAGTTGTATGGAGGCCTCTTGTTAACAATACAATCATGGGGTCAATGATTCCTGCTCTACCCCAGGCCTATGGAGTCAGAAGCTTCCCAAGGAGCTCCTAGTTTTGAACTTTAAGCAAGTTCCTAGTGGCTCACTGTTCATCCGGCCATTGAGGCAGGCCGGAAGGCTAACTGGCCTGTCTGCTTTAGTCTAAATGTGTGTGCGCTGTTTGGGCCTCACCTCCAGGACGGTGACATTCATTGATCAGTTGCTCCTTCTTAGAGCCTGTATTGGACACTGCAATGTCTCATTCCTCCAGGCAAATCACACAATACTTGACCGAGATTTTGAATCTGGAACTTTCAGTCATGCAGCATTCCTGAGGACAGCTCCAGGGGAAACAGGAAGTGACATTTCCCTTCAGCTTGCAGCAGCAGGCCTTTAGAAAGATCAGAGCTTCATGCTCAGGAGGCAGCACAGGCTGAACCTTTCGAAGCATGGGTGTCAGCAAAGCTGCCCTTGGGGACTTTGTCACCTGGCTTCTCAGGTACTGGAGCATTCCATAGCCTCTGGAGGTGGGGGTACTGGATTCTTTGAGAGTTTAGCTAGTGATCTAGTGGTGGGGGTTGCTTCCAGCTCACTGCATCCCTGGGGCCAGGCATGACCCCAGGCATGACTAGTGATGACTTACAGGATGAGGATGGCTGCAGCTCTTTGGGGTGCTGACTTTGTATCTTGGGTAGGGACCATGTGCTCTCCGCAATCATTCAGTACTGAAGGAGGGCTATGAGTAGCCCTCAACCCTGAACAGAAGCACAGACTCACCTCTTCCCAAAGCTGTCCCATGTGATACTTCACCTACCACCACTCCCCTGCTGTAAATGGACCCTGCTGGTCTGAGAAGGCTGCTGACCTACACGGGCAGTCTCAGTACTCTCAGGGACAGCCATTGTACGGGCAAGCACTGGAGATAAGCTTGAGCTCTTTGAATGAAAATCATGGAGCAGCTTCAGAAACAGCTCCAGCAAAAAGAACAGTACCTCCATTGAGCAGCTGCTCACCGGTCAGGGCTATCTCCTTGTTTCCCAAGGCCTAAGTGCTTCCCAGCAGCTGATTCATCTCCAGGGAGGAGAGGAAAGCAGTGGGCTGCCTGCAGGGCAGGCTTCTTCATCTGACTGCAGAACCGCCTTCCCACCCCCGCAGGACCTCCTACTCCCAAGTTCAAGTTCGACTCCAATACAATAGAAGTTGAAGTTGCTGGGCAAGCAGCTGGCTAACAGGCCCAATTACTCATGGCACTTTCCCAAGCCCCAGCTCTCCTCACTAGCTCATGACATTGGAGTCTGGCTACAGCTTGTTTCCCCAAAGTGTATGGCTTTGCAAGTAAGTACCCATCACACTTCTGGTTCAGCCACTAACCGGGAAATTCCACTTGTCAACAGAGGAATTCTGGGAGCCAGACGGCCACCAACGCACTACCTTTGGCCACTTTCATGGAGCCATAGTCCCAGAGTAAGGCCAGCTGGCCTGTCCATGTCTGGGCACTGCCTTCAGCCTGGCACTCATGAGGTTGGGCATGGCAGAGAATGACATGGCCAGTTAGGTCTTGACCATCGTGTCTAAGGATACATAGCTGAGGCCACTAAGATCATTCAAACTGAAAGAGTCATAAGAGGGGGTAGAATCGTGTTATTTTATGTCTTTCAAAGATAACAACTCTTTTGATTAACACCAAAGTTGCCTGTCCTCTCCCTAGGTGAGAGAACTCTGTGTCCCTTCTACTGGAATGTTCTAGCCCTGTAAGACTGCCCCTGACTCAATAGCTGACTTGATCTAGAAGTACCTGAAGGCTAATTTTGATGTACAAGGGACACATCCTGGGAAGGACAACGGCACCTTCTCATGTGTTGAGAAGACACTCCTGACTGTCACTGCTGGCCTCACTTACCCTTGATACCCTTGATGGCATCCCTATCTGCCTGAGACCTTGGCCAGGTCACTGACCTGAAATACATTTTATTTTTGCTTCCTCCTCCAGTGGAGAATTCAAGGCAGAGTATCACACCTGACAGTACATAATAGCCAGGTTGTGCTGCATTTATCAGCTCTATAAAATACATTTGCTTCTAAAGCCCATGATCTCATCCTGGAGGTCAAAGTCTTCAGGAGATTTCCTCCTATGCAGATCTCCTGGAGTCCCTCTCTCCTGGGCAATGTTTGCCCAACATTTATAAGGTGCCCTCTATATAGCAGTGAGCACTGTGCTGGTACCAGGAAAGGCCAAAGTGACAAGTGTGTCCAGAGCTCAAGTTCAAGTCAGCAAGTTCATTAGGATCATGAGGGATGTCTGAGGCCTTCAAGTCATCCCAGGGTCACCTGCTTTCTTATGGCTCTGCTCTTGTGTGTTCTTTGCCAAGATTAACTTGCGTGTTCTGCTGCAAGCAAGTCTAGACAGAGGGAGAGAGACTTTAGAGTCACTGGCAAAGAG